AACTGGAACGAGTTAAAAAAATTGGAAGAAGTTGGAAAAAACTAAAGGAAGTTGGAAGGAGTTGAAAATTAACAAATTAACGGTTCCAACAAAAAAAACAAAGCCCCGGTTTAAACACACAGCAAATCTAGTATGCTTTATAGCTTACTGATTATAAATTAGTAAGCATGATAAACCTTTGCAATTCTGGCCATGGATTATTGAGTCGAAGGTTGTCCATAAAATTATCAGGCTTTGATTCAATCACAGTGTGTTCCTGAACAAGAAAATTTACCGCCATTGAAAGTTAGCACTTAGAAGTGGCTTAAGCGTTAATGCACTATCAATCTATCGTACTATTTAAGAAGGGATTTTCTGATTGACCATATATAGGAAACACATCGATTTCTAGAAGGTTTATACTGTTACACCCATAATTATTTGCCAGCTGTTCATATGGAGTAACAGTTTCAGCCAAAAAGAAACCAAAAAAGAAGGTCAAATGAAACTTAACAAGATAAAATGAAACTAGTAATACAGAGTAAAGATTTATACTAGTAGGGTGACACATGCACAATAGCAATTTTAATGCACAATCTGCAAGGATTTGTGCACATCATTAAAACTATAATTATGTGAAAGCTATTCAACTTATATAAAGACAAAAAATCATTGTCTTTGTAAACTAAATGAAAGTTTTATTTTTGATAAAGTAATACTCTGTATTATACTCTGTTCACTCAAAATAAAAGGAAGTGTAATGTTATAGAAAAAATAGAAGAAAACTAATATGCCTAAGATCGTTTATTAATATGATCATAATGGTGGAAGCATATTATTTACTCCGTATTTTGTACTTGAGAAGCAAAATAAATGAAATCATGTTAAAAAGCATCATGTACGGAGTATTTAATTATTTATGCAAGTCAACATTTTAAATATTTTAACTACAAATTAGAAGAACTTAAAACAAAGCAAGGGTGTTTTTACCAAAAAATAAATAAATCAAAGGCTTCAATGCTTAACACACCGTTAATCCCTCACCATAAAGACACAAATATAATCTAGAAATTGAACCCTCACTCGCATTAGGTTTATACCGATATCTATGGCTAATGGCTCTATGGAGAAACTAAATTATCAGCTATCATCATGCTAAAACACGGTACCTTCACACTGATCCTCACAAGGCCCGTAAGTCCATAGGACCGTGCAAAAACCAAAATGACATTTGCCTCCCGACAGATAGAGTCCAATTTCATCATCGAATCTTCAGTCAACTGAAACAAAACATCATGGTTACGAGAAGATAATTGACTGGATTGCAGAAAAATAATGATCTTGATAATCTGCTTTGGAACTGCTAATCACATCCAACTGAAGGTAAAAAATAGAAAGTTGATTGCATTGGTGTATGCTATAGTTATCGTCATACTAACCAAACATTTTTTTATTCTCCCTTTCAGGATGCTTTATATTCCACAAGATGTACATGTTTAACTAATTAAACGGAATATATTTGGACCCAACAATAATTTAAATTGGCAAAGCAAATATAAACAGCACCCTGAACCCTTCAGCACGGGATTATAAAAGGAAGAACATAATCAATCCACAAGTACAAACCTGTGTAGCAACAACCAAGGTGAATTGCGTAAAAAAAGAAGGGTTCGTCTCAATTAGCTCCTTCGGATACTCCTCTATGAATTTAGCTTTGACAGCATCATTTAGCTCTTGCAGAAATGAACATACACATCTAGCCTTTGATTGTCCAACATTTGATTCATCCACTAGAAATTACAACATGAAAAGGATGGAAAAGATAAAATGCATCATGTCTACATATTACATGCACAGAAATGTAGCTCTGTGGATATTGTTATACATAATGTTTTATATACATACCCATAAAGTTATTTCCAAGGTCACCAACTTCCACTTTGGATCCATCAACAACTGTGATACTTCCAACCCCACCAAGGACTAGATTCTTTAAAGTTTCAGAGCCAGTAGGCCCACAATTAAGTAAGCAAACACTGGCTTTCTCCAGAGCAGCCTGTCCCTGTTCACCCCATATCCTGCCAAAAGAAGAGAAATGAGATGTAGGTTGACTCTTATTTTAAATTTTTAACAAAACAAAATTTCCCAGAGAAAAACATCATAAACCTCATGCAAAGCAAGCAATTAAAACTGAATCCAACTTATCATGTTATGCATGCAATAACTCTGCCTGATACATTAGGAATTTGATCTATTGCAGTGCTATTGAAGAACACAAGGAGCACCAGCATCAAGTGCTAAATGTAGAATTGGGGCAAAATACAAAGTACTCCATAATTTTCAAGTTTATTTCCTTTTAAAGGCAATGTATGAAAGTAGTGAACACTTCGCATCTGCTGCCCACCCTCCGAAAATTAAGGGGAATTACAATTTTCAGATATTAGGCTCACACTTGGTTCTTCTGGCAGATTAAAATACCTGAATGAACTGTTGAGTACTGCATTCTCAAGTTTTTTTTAAGAAAATGTACTGTGACACACATACATATCAGCAGTTTCTAGCTTGAAACATAGTGCATATATAAGATGCAACAAGGGTTACAACTAGAAAAGAGCACATCTAATGACATTGATTAAGCTATGGTGCATGGTGGGAAGCCATTGAATACGAAAATCTACTTCCCAGCTGCAAGAGCTATTTGAGGCAGTACACAAGACCAGCTTTCTAGCTTATAACACACTAGATTTTTGTTCGTTCTTTCAACCACAACAATAGTGACTGAAGACCAGCTTTCAATTCATTAACACTACTATGCACATTAGAAAAAACATCAATTTTGGCAGAACAAAGAAAAACTGAGCATAACAGTGACTGAAGACCAGCTTTCAATTCAAAAAACTTTAAAAAAAAACAAGTAGCTCAATAAAACTGCTATGAGAATGAACTGCAACTCAATTAGTCAATTTCTTGACAATTTCAGAAAAGAGCTGATAAACCGAACACAAATATATCCGCAGCTGTGGATTGTGAGCATAGGAGGGGCGATGCAAAAGGATAGATAATAATCTGTAACAAATAGCCGAATATGTTGAATGGATTTGCGAGAAATTTCTACCTGAGTTGGCGATCGTATTTAACCTTGGGTTCCGCCATTGCTCCGCGTGGGAGAGAGTGAGAGACGGGAGTGATTCCACAGGAAATCGGCTTGCTTGCGACGCTAGGACAGAAGGAGACTCGGGTTGTTTCTTTTTTATACGGAGTATTGCTCAGTTTTGAAAATAAAAATGAGCTATTATTCAAAAAGGGATATGCTAGGGGTACACCAAAGGTGTACTTCAAATATACATCACTTGCCTCTACACCATTCATTTTATTTTCTTTTTATTTTTTACTTTTTTTTAAAATTTTCTTGCCTTTTTTGTGTGGTGATGGAGGGGGTGGGGATGTTTGGGGTACACTTTTGGTGTACCCCTAGCATTTTCCATTCAAAAATTATTCCTTGATCAGACTATATTTAATATTTATGCGGATGAACAGAAAATATCGTACATCTGAATATATGATATAAATATATGGAAAATACCCTACTAAAATATGGAGTAATATTGTATAGACCAAACTCACATCTTCATATTTAACATTTTCGATTATGTAATCGGTTCTTCGTCGTCAATCCCACCAACCAACATGTGATCACAACAATCATCCACCACTCCAACCTATGTGACATTATAATGATTCTTAGAATCTAAATATCCATCCATTGCCAGAAGCCTAGTCTTGCCAATCCCTGCATTATTCTACTTCCTATCAACATGTGCGCCCCATATTCTACGGAGTATGTATATTTGGACATTCACAAAGAATTTGTGCCACAATCTATATCATATTAAAGTTAAATACTCCTAGGCACCAATATGCCTCTATATCGCAACAAAGTCGTCTATTATATATTAGTGAACTCATAAGCTGAAGAAATTAATAACTCATATGTGATCATGCAAAAGTGAGTCTTTTAATTTTTAAATGTAAGAAATACCCTATGTAAAAAATGCTACGTTATGCAGTGTTCAACTATTCAGCTGTTGTCACATATTACAAAAATATACGTAGTACTCCCTCCGTCCATTAATTAACTTCCCGGTTTGACCGGGCACGCATTTTAATGCATGATAAAAATTGTATTGACTTTCCTAATATACCCTTAACATGCCTACTACCCCTTATGCTTCTCCACCAACGTGAGTCATCACCTCTCACTGCCAACGCTACCGCCGACGACTCTCCGGCACTGCCGACAACGATTCTCCGGCATCGCCACCGACGACTCTCCAGCACCATCGCAGATGACCTCTCTTGCTCTGGTTGCCACCATCCCCTCCACAATCCCCACCCAAGTAAATTTGTTCTGGATCTTCTTATGGAAGACAACACATCAGAAAAGGAGTAGATGCGCAATGTTTTAATGGCGGAAAAATAGCGGATCTAAGATTTTGACCGAGGCGGAAAAGAAAATTTTGCAAATCGAACATGGGGGCATCAGAGAATTTTAGATCTGTACAATCCATGTTAGCAATGTCCGAAGAGGATTGGATCTGAAAGCCGCCTCGCTGCTCCACCATTACTTTCGATCGCCGCCTCACTCCCAATCAACGGGTGGCAGGCCAAAATCAGAAGGGGAAAGAAGAAGAAAAGATAAAAGAAGATGAAGAAGAAGAAAAAAGAAGAAGATGAAGAAGAAGAAAAAAGAAGAAGATGATGACGATATAGTGGTGGGGACTGGTGGCTGGACAAAATCGTGAGAGAAGAAAAGAAAGGGGGAAGAAGAAAAGAAAGAAGAAGAAGAAGAAGAAGAAAGAAGAAGAAGAAGAAGAAGAAGAAGAAGAAGAAAGAAGAAGAAAAAAGAAGAAGAGAAAGGAAGCAGGTGGCGATGGATTGGTTGGTGGAGAGAAGAAAGATGGAGAAGATAAGGATGGGATGGTGGTGCGGCTGAGAATGAAGAAGTAAAATAGTGGAGGGTAATAAAGTCATTTGATATAAAAAAAGTTGCCAAAAATAGTAATGGGAAGATAATTTGTGGACGGACAAAAAAGGGAAGTGGGAAGTTTATTTATGGACGGAGGGAGTATTAATTTATGATTGTACTACGTGGTAACAAAGTAGACATGATCAAGAGAAGAGTTTTTGAACATAAGATATGTTCTTGATTTCAATCTCGCCTCATAAAAAGGGTTACTCCATCTCCAAATATGCTACGGAAAAGTTCTAGGGGACATTTGCAAAATTCATTACAGAAACGTCATATGTGACAGACTTTCAAAAACGTTCCTGTTGCAAAAACCTTGTCACAAAATCATAATTTGTGATAGAAATTAATGTTGTTTGTCGCATATCAGCAATAGATATTGTGATAAATTATAAACATTTTTAGTGCAATAGATTCGAATTCAAGACCTCTTTATATGAGGCTAAATTGCTTTTTAGTGTGATTATCTCTTGTTGGGGTAAAGGCCCAACGACTTGAGCCGGACTGTGTAATACAACACCCCGAGAGCCCATGTAATACTACACCCCGAGAACCCATAGGCACCAAGAAGGTTGATGTCCCGATCGCCAGTAGGAGACCGAAATGCACTCGAGGGATACTTGAATGCTAAAAGCTTCATCTAGGGGAAGGACGAATGATGAACCAAGAATCATTCCTAATTAGGCCGGTCATTTGGGACCCAACTACCCATCATGACATCCGTACAATACATTTAATGCGGAGGCAATATCTGACATGCGTGCTCTCGAATAGTGATTATGACGTAATGTGCGAACCATTGTTCACACGTCATATTTTCCAGTCTATTTGCCCATTATTGTTCTCCATATAAATGAGCAAGAGAGGTGATGATGGAAGGGATATGATCCTGGAGAGAGATAGTCGGAATATTAGACTAAATCTCAGCAGAGGTCATGTCATTGTAATCGGGTGAAGACCCCTCGGGCCACCCTAGTGTAACTCGGTATCCAAATACTAAGAATAATCCAATCCGTACTCCACGTTCCGACTCTTACCACTTTGTTAAATCTCGAACTCAGCCCAAAAGCTAGTGTTGTGCTTTTGGGTCCTGAAAGTATTTACACCAACATCTCTATTATAATTGAACTATATATTTATATTTTTTCAATCGTATGGCTCGTAATAATCAATGCTCTCATAGGGACTCATACTTGGGTGATTATCTCGATCACGAAGTTTTAGCGTGTTGGTTTTCAAAACCCTCTATTATCATTGTCGACTTGACTAAAACACATTTAAATTGTTTTGTTTTTATTTTGTTGATGGAAAATAAAAAGTAAATGCATCAATTAAAATACCACACAACCTCCACACTTCTCTCCCATTCTCTTTTCTCTTGTTTGGCATGCACTTGTATATTTATAGATAGTGTCCAATGGCCATCAACTCTTCATTTTTGTCCCCAAACGCCCCATGCCCCATCCATAGCTTCTTCTTCCGGCTGGCTTTTCTATTCACGAACGATTTGGCACCGCACGCAGACCTAGAAATACCCGCCCCCACCCTCCACGCCTAACACATCATCATTGTATGTAGACATTGATGACGACGCGAACACGCAAAATCGTCATGCATATAAACTCCTCCCCATCCTCTTCTTCCGCCGCCACTTCACTCCTCCGAGCTTCGTCGTCGTACGCCTCGTGCCGCTCTCGTTTCTTCTCCTCCTCCCCCGCCGCTTCCCCGCTTCATAGACCCTTCCGGAGCTGCCAATCGGCTCTGTACCGCCAGCAGCAGCATCGGTTGCTTAGCTTCTCCTCCGCTCTGCGGTCGATCCGCTCCTCCGTGCCCCGCTGGAGTCAGGGCGTCGATTGCAAGTCACCTGCTAGATCCGTCGCTCAGATCAGGATATCCTCCCCGGTTCTCAACGATTTCCATCGGAGGATCGCTACCATGGGTACTCTTTCTCCGTTCTTTTATCCGCCACTGTTGGATAATAATTCTTCATTGAAAAGCCGATGATTATCGAGTACATGTTATAGAAATCAGATTTTCATTTTACCTGTTTTTAATTTGAAAATTTCGAATAGCGGAGAAGTAAATTTAGATCGTATTTTTTTATTCAAAAAAATCATAGTGACATTGAGAATTCATCTGATCGGCGGAATTTTAGTGGTAGGACCCGTATATAACAGCTGGTGACATTGACGGGAGATATTATTTTTTAAAGGACTGGAGATATTTTGTTCTTCCTATTTGATTAGTTTTACTCGATTGCTTTTGAAAATTCGAAGTCCATCTTCACTAACTTTGCCGTGGTTGAATGATTCTTCAGTTATAATCTCAGCTTATCCACTTGAAATCACGAATCTGAATATCTGATACTGTGTTTGTGTAAATGGCTTCAGCATCGGGAAATCCGTTCAAGGGAATCCTAACCAGTCTCCCCAAGCCAGGAGGGGGTGAATTCGGGAAGTTCTATAGCCTGCCTGCTCTCAATGATTCACGGATTGGTAAATTTCCTCACGATCTGTATCTCTCTACTAGTTTTAGTAAAAGTGATTGCTTTCTGAATCTATATCCGCCACTTTGTTAAAGCTGCTTTATTGCATATGGCTGCTGTGGACGAATATATTCTACGGATATTGATTTTATAAATTTTCCATATTCCTTTATATTGTCCCCTCCCTTTTTTGAGGAAGTAAAACTAGGTCTTTGTTGGATAGCATATTTCATACTCCTTATTTCTTCTTTTGTGTTAGCAGTTTTTTTTATCTTTCCCTTTAAAAGAGAAAAATGCTTTTTTTACTTGGCATATACTTGTTGATCTTGACTGGGTTTTGTTTCCATGTCTGCACGTCCATATTTACACATTTCTGTATCATTTGCGAAGTCCCCACAACAAAACAACATTACCCCACCCCATTGCTTCAAAGGCTCCCGCCCATTGCGGGGTGGGGGGGGGGTTGGATGTACGCAGCCTGACCCCTTAAAACATAGAAGTCCCCACAAACAAACAAATTGCAGTAAGGATAGTTCTTCCATGTAATTGCAACACATATATGTCTAATCTATTCTCATGCATGTGCAACAGATAAGCTGCCCTACTCTATTAGGATTCTTCTTGAGTCTGCCATTCGCAACTGTGACAACTTTCAAGTGAAGAAGGAAGATGTTGAAAAGATAATTGACTGGGAAAGTTCTGCTCCTAAGCTGGTTGAGATACCCTTCAAGCCAGCCCGCGTTTTATTGCAAGTAATGATTTTGACAGATGCCTCTCAAAATGTTATCTGACTTTCTCAAAGACAATTCTTCACATGAAGTTTGTTTTCTTCCTAGGATTTTACTGGTGTCCCGGCAGTGGTAGACCTAGCTTGCATGCGAGATGCTATGAACAACCTTGGAAGTGATTCTGACAAGATCAATCCCCTGGCAAGCATACTAGTGTTCTTGATCAACTTAAATATATATGCATTATTTGCAAACTTATATTGTTATCGAGAAATTATCTTGTACGTAGATATGGCGTACTATGTATCGGGAGTTTTATCTGATGCTTTGAATGAGTTCAAAGCTATCCAGTTGTATGGCTTTAACATGTCAATCTCTTGATGTCAATTTTTTTTAAATAAAAAATCCTGGGCATGTAGTATGCCAGTATCCTTGAGTTTCATTCTTCCATATCACATTACTCTTTTATCTCATTCGATTTCATATTTCCAAATTGCAGGTCCCTGTAGATCTAGTTATTGATCATTCAGTTCAAGTTGATGTTGCAAGAACAGAAAATGCAGTACAGGCTAATATGCAGCTTGAATTTCAAAGAAACAAAGAAAGGTTTGCCTTTCTTAAATGGGGATCTAATGCTTTTCGCAACATGCTTGTTGTTCCTCCGGGTTCGGGAATAGTACACCAGGTAATTGAGTTATAGAATACAATCTTACTCTGTGTTTTACTAAAACTAGAATGTTGTTCATCGTAATATCTCATCAACCTTATGCCTCATTTCATTATCTTTAAGTTTCATTTTTTATTGTTACCTGCAAAATAAACAAATCTTAAATGTTTTTTATTCACTTATTGATGGTTTTTGGTACAGTAAATAGTAAAGACACAGATTACGCCGAGTTCAAAACTATTATAACACCAATGACATTCTTGCAGGTGAATTTAGAGTATCTTGGGCGGGTTGTCTTCAACACTGATGGCATACTTTATCCAGATAGTGTGGTGGGAACAGATTCTCACACTACCATGATTGATGGCCTTGGAGTTGCAGGCTGGGGTGTTGGCGGCATTGAGGCAGAAGCAGCAATGCTTGGTCAGGTAAATTTACTATCAAAGTTGATGCTTTCAATTTTATGGAATGGTCTATAACTGCCAACGGTTGACAAGCTTTTTTTCTTTATTGAGTGGTTAAATCAAATAAATTGACCTTCTACTGTTGTTTGGACATGGGCAGCCAATGAGCATGGTCTTGCCTGGAGTTGTTGGGTTCAAGTTAACAGGGAAATTGCGCAATGGTGTCACAGCCACTGATTTAGTTTTAACTGTGACACAAATGCTGAGGAAGCATGGTGTTGTTGGAAAGTTTGTTGAATTCCACGGTAAGTGTTACTTGGAGACGGATTCACTTGGCTTCATTTTTTGAGTTGTTTTATCCTTTTATATAATCCCATGGAAGAGTAATATATGCTTACTATTTGTTTTTGCTTAGGTGATGGTGTCAGTCAACTATCATTAGCTGACAGAGCTACTATTGCCAACATGTCTCCTGAATATGGTGCCACTATGGGATTCTTCCCAGTAGATCATGTTACTTTGCAATATCTCAAATTGACTGGGAGAAGTGACGAGACTGTAAGTTTCCATCGTGTCCTGCATGTGAATTTTGAACACATGCTTCCACATTATTTGCTGATTTGGGTACTAATTTTTTTGCCACTCTGCATAATTTAGGTTGCAATGATTGAGGCTTATCTTCGTGCAAACAATATGTTTGTTGATTATAATGAGGTAGAACTCCATTCAAATGATTTTTCACTTTAGTCCGTTCTTTCATCCCCCCCCCCCTGATTTGATCTGAGTCCTTATTTTTCATTCAAACTTCAGCCTCAAATAGAAAGAGTGTACTCGTCATCCTTGCAACTAGACCTTGAAGGTGTTGAGCCATGTTTGTCAGGGCCAAAAAGGTATCCGTTTGTTGTCTTAACAGTGAATTGAACAATAGAATATATACCTCAGAAGTTTTTGTTTGAACTCCCTGGTCATTATGGCAGACCCCATGATCGTGTACCGCTAAAGGAGATGAAGTCTGACTGGCATTCCTGCCTTGATAACAAAGTGGGATTTAAGGTGATTGTCAAAGTTGATCAGCTTCTCTTAAAAACTTGCTTTTGCAATTGATTCACACACCCCTTGTAGTTCTTATTCTCCATTATCCAAGGAAAATACCTACCTCTGATAGGAGTTCCTAAGGACACTAGATTAGGGTAGCAGATTTCTTTTTGGATTTCAGAGCAATCATGATTGGGGACTTGAGGGCTCTCTTGGCTCTTCAGTTGAATGCATTGTGCAAACGTTAAGTAGTACCTTGCTTACCCTTCTAATGTACTGTCCCCTTTTGTTGCTGTCTTATGCATTTTAATTGTTTATTTATTTTTTGTTTTATTTTTTATTATAAATCCCATTCTTCACACAATCTATCACCTTTGGATGTTTTTTCTTATGAAAAGAAATAATTCCATTTTTTTAACTTCTCTCAAAACTTTGCTAATTTCCCTCTATCCCGGGTTCTTTACATAAACAGACTCTCTAATCCTAGAATTAGAGGTAATGTTAGCTGACATCTCAACCTCACTAGAGCCTACTACCGAATGGGACATACTAGATATGTTTAGTTTTGCATGGTTTTTCATTATTCATTTTTCTGGTTTGGTTTACAACCCATTGGTATGTTTATGCAATCGTCTTAGAATAAGTTCCATAAATGTCAAGGAGAAAGGAGAAAGTAAAGTTCTTGACATACCTTGGTATCATTAAGTTGAACTTAGTGTTAACAAACCTGATCCCAACGCAGGGATTTGCTGTGCCAAAGGAGGCACAAGAAAAGGTAGCAAAGTTTTCTTTCCATGGACAGCCCGCAGAGCTCAGACATGGTAGTGTTGTAATTGCTGCCATCACAAGTTGCACTAATACATCAAATCCCAGTGTTATGCTAGGAGCTGGACTTGTTGCTAAAAAGGCCTCTGAATTGGGTCTACATGTGAGTACTTGTCCTTAGAGTTTAGACTTGAATGGTTATTTTACAACTTTAACATTTTGTTTATTATATATGTTCTTGTTTGTGTCAGGTAAAACCATGGATCAAAACAAGTCTTGCCCCAGGATCTGGAGTTGTTACAAAATATTTACTCCAAAGGTAGTATCTGCATTTTATGAACTTTTCAACGACAACAGCACAACCAGTAAAATCTCACAAAAGTAGGGGTATGGTGTGTGTACCTAGACTTTACCCCTGCTCGATTGTAGGTTTTATGAAGTTTTTAAATGTTTTACTTTTCTTTTAAAAGATTACCATCAATTTATTTGTTGTTTGCAGTGGGCTGCAGGAGTATCTAAACAAGCAAGGTTTCCATATTGTTGGATATGGCTGCACGACATGCATTGGCAATTCTGGTGACTTAGACGAGTCTGTTGGTTCTGCCATATCTGAAAATGGTATGTAGTTAAATTTTACAATTTAATCATTAAATACTAAGACACTGCCATGTAATTTTGTTCGTACAAGATTTAGGAGACTATCACACTTTTATCATGGTAATTCATATGTTTTTTGATTGATGAATCACTTCATATGTTTACGTTTTCATTTGTACATGATCTAATATAGGAATTGTTAGTATTTCCCGTATTAAAATATGTTGATTGTGAGCTGAAACACCTTATCCATCTATCTTGATTTTTGTGAAAAAAATGCAAACTTTGCTTTGTAAGATTTTTTTTTTTGTTCAAGTGAAATTTTTACAAGGGCAGATAAATCCGAAGGTATTGGAACTTGGATGAAATACCTACATAATCAAAGGTGAATGCAGAGTGATATGGTAGGGTCATGGTAGTCAAACTCGAGATTCTACGTAGGATCAATAGACTTCGTAAAGATCATAACTCGTAGGATCGTGACTCAGATGGTAAGATCCTATATATATATATATATAAAAGTAATGGGACACATGTTTTAATTAAAGAAAATAAGGGATATAACATTTTTTATTGCCACATATCATTTAAAACCTGATTGCTAAATATCTAAAAGAGTCTAGACCGTCTTTTGATTCCTAAACTTTTAAAAGTTGGGCAGATTGTTTATACAGTGTCGATGAAACTTAAGAAGTCTATCGCACGTGTTGGGTCAACAGTGTCTTGGAATTTTTCATCCAGGAGTTTTTCTCTTTTTTTGTCTGTGTATTTTTCACTAGATTCGCGATAGCGATTCCGCAATTCTACGCGTTGATCCGTACGATTCGCGTAAACTATCAATCTTGTTCGTGATTCAGATTGCATACCTTACTTCGATCTAAAGATTCGTACGATTCTATGATCTGGCGCACAATTTTGACTATCATGGGTAGGATTTGTACGTCGGCAAACTTGCGAATTGCTGAGTGGCGGTCTAGAAATGTTTAGTATAGATGCAGGGGTAAAATATATGTTCAATCTTGTATATTGTTTTTTTGTTTACATGATCTAAATACTGAAATTAGAAAAAAACATACACAAAGTGTTAGACTGTTAGCCATTGATCTCTAAGTGTTTGATTTTAGCAATGAGCATACTTATATACTGATATTTTATGTCTCTAATCAAATGTTTGTGTTTTTTAGACATTGTGGCAGCTGCTGTGCTTTCTGGAAACCGTAATTTTGAAGGTCGTGTTCATCCCTTAACACGTGCCAACTACCTCGCTTCTCCTCCTTTGGTGGTTGCTTATGCACTTGCTGGCACAGTATGTGACTAATTGCTGTTTCATACATAGTTCCTATATTTCTCTCATATGTTCGTTGTGTACGTTAGAGCTGTTACTACTTGAATTCGTTTTGTTTTGTGCAGGTTGATATTGATTTTGAGAAAGACCCAGTTGGTGTTGGGAAGGACGGTAAGAATGTTTATTTCAAGGATATATGGCCATCAACGGAGGAAATTGCAGAGGTATGCTTTGCCATATACGGAGTATTTGGGGGGGGGGGGGACTGGCAAAATATATTAGTCACTCCCTCTGAAACTAGAGGAGGCAGCAAAGATACATTCCCTTACAACACCCTGATCCCACTCAACAAAATCAATTAAAAAGACAATTGAAAGCCCTCTCTAAAATTCTAAAAAAACATGTCATTTCACTTATATAATGATATGGGTTAATTAGCTGAAGTAGTGAAGTGGGAGAATTAATTGATCTTTTTTCTTCTAGGCTGTCCAATCTAGTGTATTGCCGGAAATGTTCAAAAGCACATATGAAGCTATTACGAAGGGAAACCCTATGTGGAATGAGTTATCAGTCCCAGCAACAAAACTGTACTCATGGGACCCAACTTCTACATACATTCATGAACCACCATATTTCAAAAGCATGACCATGGATCCACCAGGGCCTCATGGTGTGAAGGATGCCTTTTGCTTGTTGAATTTTGGGGACAGTATAACCACCGATCACATCTCCCCTGCCGGAAACATTCATAAGGACAGTCCGGCTGCTAAGTTCCTCCTTGAGCGCGGGGTTGACCGCAAGGACTTCAACTCCTATGGCAGTCGGCGTGGCAATGATGAAATTATGGCCAGGGGTACTTTTGCCAATATCCGTCTGGTTAACAAGCTGCTAAATGGAGAAGTTGGCCCAAAGACTATTCACATCCCCACTGGAGAGAAACTCTCTGTGTTTGATGCGGCAATGGTAATACACTGTTTACTTGTGATTTAATCCATCCGTTCTACAAAGAACTTCATTGTTTGTTTAGATTTTAGAAGAGATAAATTTTGTAGGCCACATATTCCTTTCTTTAAAAGGAAAAAGTAGAAGTTTGAAGTTTTTTGGGACATCCAAATAAGTAAAGTGTGTTTCCTCAAAAAAAAAAAAAATAAATAAAAGGAAAGTGTGAAGTAATTTGTAGGCTGGATGGCATATTTGATATGCCTGCGCTTATGCTTCAATTTCCTAATACAAACACATCACTTTCAGAGGTACAAGTCTGCTGGGCAGGCTACCATAATCTTGGCTGGAGCAGAGTATGGAAGTGGAAGTTCCAGAGATTGGGCTGCAAAGGGACCAATGTTATTGGTGAGCCTTTTTCTTTTTGACTCTCAATTGCTTATTTTTCTTTTTTACCCTTTTAAACTTTCCAGTCTCATACAGTCATACCTAAGGGTATGTTTGGATCCTGGAAAATGCCATGAATATTACGGAGTATTTTCTTATACTGTACTTGGTTCAAACTTTAATAATGCAAAGGAAAATGAAATAGGATTAGTCAGTTTTTATATTTAAACTTGCATATATCTAGATTTCATAATCTTTATATAACAGAAATAAATAAACAAATGAGTATCCACAAATATCGGAAGTAAACTTATTGAGTTTTCGTTTGCTTTCACCCACATTTTCTTTCGTTTTTAATTTCCCCCGAAATGAAATGTGAACTGTGTGGTGGAACAGGGAGTTAAAGCTGTAATCGCTAAGAGCTTTGAGAGGATACACCGGAGTAACTTGGTGGGGATGGGCATTATTCCTTTATGTTTCAAGGCTGGAGAGGATGCAGAGACACTGGGATTGACAGGTAAGGAGCGCTACTCCATTGATCTCCCCAGCAAGATCAGTGAGATTCGTCCTGGACAGGATGTTACTGTTCAAACTGATACCGGAAAAACCTTCACCTGCACTGTTCGGTTTGATACTGAGGTAATACTTTTTCTTATCTATATTACCCCAACACATTTAGGATACCCCAATAAAGGGAAAGAAAATTTCAAAATGTTGATTTTTTCCCCATTGAAAAATGCAATGGTAAATAAAATATGGCCTTTCCCAAATTCTCTTCCCATTTGCTTGATTACAATTCTCCATTTCTCCTTATTTTATTTTAAGATATTGAAATAATATCTCTATTGTTTTCCTTTCTACAATAACAACCCAATATAATCCCAACTCCGTGTTGGAGGTTGAGGATCAAGATGTACACAGTCTTACCCTGATTAAAACTGAAAAAGTTATTTTCGTTAAACCCTAGATGCATGTGCTGTATTTACTTCCCAAAACTTCATAGAAAACAAGATGCAATAGAATTTTATCGTATCATTTTAACTTCGTCCATTATGTGCCCGATGCTAAAACATGGGTCATCTGGAAACAGACGCACTATGTTTTAACATAGGGGTTAGACTGCGTACATCCGACCCCCACCCCCGCCCCACAATGGGCGGGAGTCTTTAATGCACCGGGGGTAAATGGGTGATGTTGTTGTATGTGCCCGAAGCTAAAACATTTTCAGTAGCCACTTTTTTTCATTTTAGCTCCTTTGACAATGGAGGGGGTAATGTTTTCCTTTCACTATTGTATGTAGGTGGAGTTGGCATATTTCAACCATGGTGGCATTCTTCCCTACGTTATTCGTCAGTTGACCAACCAATGAATGAACCGACCAACCAACCAAACTACATTTGTCGGAGCGCAGACCCATTGGGAAGGAAATAAACCTGACCACAATTGTTTGTCATTTATTGGTAGCCAATAATTTTTCATTCACACACGTGGTTTTCTGCTGTCACCACTGCAGGCAAGTTAACTCCACCCCCCACCCTTTAATTGCCAGGGAGCATATACTTTCATTATTTTAACTTTTTTAACCCCCTTCGCCTTGGAAAAAAAATTACTTTTCCCACAGTGTTTTGGTGAAACATTATTAGTCTACACTCCACACTTCCCTAAATAAAGTACAAGTTTTGCGTACTTTCCTAAATAACTACCTGTTTAGTTTTACTTTGCTTGTTTCAAATTTTCCATCCTAATTTTGAATCTACGTGCTTATTAAAAGAAAGATTTTGAACAATCGAAGGGAGCATCCCCATCCACAGTCTATTACTATCTAATACGGAGTACATATTACAAATACAAGCGGAAACTGTATGAACCTTGCTAGACTACAAATTCAACAACCTGATAAGAGTAGAAAATGCTTCTTAAACTATAGGTATGATTCTAAGGTTAACGCACATATTCATTTGGTATTTTATTGTTTGTGAGACACTTAGTAGTGTCATTTTTGATGTCATTTGTGGCGAGATTGTCACCGGTGAATCAAAGCACCTTATGTGTAATCTCCTCCGGGACACTTTCCAAGGACGGTTTCCATCCCCCGACTCCGTCCGTATCTCCGCTGCTTTCCCCTAGCTTAACAATGGCTGACAGAAGCCTCCCTGAGGAAGAAGAAGATGCCAGCTCTCCCCCTTCCAAGATTCGCATCAACTCGTCTCGCTTCACCACAACTCTAATCCTCACGACTCTTGTCACCTCCTCTTCTTTCTGGTCGTCGAGTCTAAAAGTAACGGTTTTTCTTGGCTTTGCCTTTTCCGTTGATGAGGTTCCCGACGGATTTCTGTGTTCCATTAAGAGTCGTCCTTCTTCCTCCATCGCCTTCTTCTCTTGTTTTGCACCGCCCTTTCTAGCCAAGCAATTCCCCATGGAGTTCTCCCACTTGTTTCTTTCTCTATCTCCTTTTTGGGGTGCGAGGTTCTTATCATTATATAGTACGAGGAACGAAAAGGCAAGTCCCCGGTAATGATAAAATAATACTCCGTATAATAATTGTATTGCGGAGTAATAATAAAACACTGGGAATTCATTCATTCAGACTAGAAATTTTAACAAAGACGGCAACTGCATCTTTGTTTTGCATCCAACTCGACTTGTTTCATTTATTGAAGTGGGGGCGCTGCCGGGCCACCCAAAGAGGATTACACACACACATGGGTTGGCAATTTGGCATTGCCATTCTATTCTAAAGTGGTTGTGCTAGATGTACACCAAGTGTGTTACAAATATAAATAGATTAGTCTATTTTTCTCGTATAATTGTTGTATGTGTGTATTAGTAACACACTAGGTCTATAAAGATGTGTACACTAAGTTATGTGTCTGTTTCAATTTATGTTGCATGTTTAGTATTCACTTGGTTTATTTTTATTTACTTTCTTTACTTATTTTCATCATGTCACCTTTTGTTTTGTAGAAATTTTGATGTAATATTTATATACTGTATGAATTTTTATTTTTTAAACTACAACCTAATTTTTAAATAAATTAAATTGAAAATAATTTGAGTCAAACTTCATAAGTCAAAACATGTGATCTAATTTGGGACTGAGGGAGTAATATGCATGGCTGTCTTTCGTCATCTTTATATTAGTTAGATAATATGGGCATTACTCCTTTCTTTTACACCCCATATTGGCCAACTAATCTACGATCCCGACAAATCACTTTATTCTAAGGACTTGTTTTCTTTACATATTCTAATTGATTTTGATCTGATTGGAATAAGTTTTGATCTGGTCTTGTTTGATTTGATTGTAGTTTTATTTAAAACTATTTCTGATTTAGTCTAGTCTGATCGATCTAATTTCAATAAGAATAAGTAATAGGTAATAAGTTGAAGAAAACAAGCTCTATATCATCTCTCTTATATTCCCGAGAAAATTCCAAAAATATATGCAAACTTTAAGATTTTTTCCTAAATGAACTTTGCTAGCAGTATAATAATTTTTACTCAAACTCTCACATCATCTTTTCACAGACATTCATATGTGAAAAATTTAATCGATCGCAAAGTCAACTAAATTAGAGAGGTGCAATTGAAGTGGGTATGGGGGATGAGTTTGGGTCAAGCTGGGATGTGGGTTTATCAGGGAATTATGTGCAGAGTAGGAATCGTCAATTTCTTATACCAAACTCATGAGAATCAAGCTCTTCGAGGAAGGGGTTCAAGTGACATTGAATCTTAGTGTCATCTTTCCGATTGGAGCTCTTACGGTGCTCCGTTTGAAAGTTTGACAGACCCACCTAACTTCCGGTAAACCTCTCAACACGGCCCGACCAAAGCCCACCCACCCCCTGCCCCCTTTAGTTACACTCTTACAAATTTAGTTGACTTTAGAGTCAATATTTAACTGTAAAAGTCAACTAAATTTGAGGGTGTAATTGAAAGGAGTAGGGAGTGAGTTCGGGTTGAGCCAAGATGAGAGTTTACCGATTGTACACATTGGGAATGAAAAAATTGTCCCATTGCGTGGCATGATAAGTTCTACGGGAGTGGTCATCCCAAGTCTATTATTATGCTTGAAGTTGTCGCTTCAAATGAGTTGTGGTTTTGACATGCCTTTTTTGGTGTTGTGCGTTCGAACGATATCAATGTTTTTTATCAATCGCCAGTTTTTTACGATTGGGTTAATGAGACTACACCCGACTCATCTTTTGAGCTTAGAGGGAATGCTTTACAAGCGTGAGTTTTATCTTGCCCATGGAATATATCTAGATTATTCCATGTTGGAAAATTTAGCACAAAACTTCCCACAGAATGGAAGCAGCAAACTAGTTGTCCAAGAACAAAGAGAAATCGCAAGCCAAAAACCAGAGATGAGTCCAAATATTGTAACCGGAAAACCGTCTTCACAGAGGTAAAACCACCACAATAAAAATAGTGTAAGTACAACTTAACTGTCTGGAATTACAACACCAATTCTAGACCTACATAAAATTTAGGTACAAAGAAAACCCCTCTAAATTCCCTAGTACAATTGGTAAAACTCTACCAATAACCCACTAGGACCATTTAGAGTAAGGCCCCGTTCCGTTCAACTTATTTTTTCTTATTTTTTCTTATTCTTATTAAAATTAGATCAGATCAGATCAGACCAGATCAGATCGAATCAGATCAGATCAGATCAGATCGAATCAGATCAGATCAGATCAGATCCAATCAGATCAGATCAGATCAGGACTTATTAAAATCAGATCCCATCAAAATTATTATTATTATTATTATTATTATTATTATTATTATCATCATCATCATCATCATCATCATCATCATCATCATCATCATCATCATCATCATTAGTATTGTTCTTAAAAATGAAAAAGAATAAACTTTAGAAATAGGTTAAATAGAAAACTGAGAAAGTAATCCTTAATTATTAGACGTCGGAAAAATTAGTTTTAAAATACATTGACAATGTCAATCTAATTCTACTTTTAAAATATATTTTTATTGCTACTTGTAATTTAAGTTTTTAAACTTTTGATCTTTTATAAGGATGAGATATTTTAATAAAAATACTATCTCTTCTATATATTGATTATCTAAATTTAATTACTTTTTAATGTATATCTAAATTCAATATTTATTCTAATGTATAATTCTAATTTTACAAAAATATAATCATAAAATAAAAAATATTATTACATTATAATATGAATGATTATTCTAATATATTAATTAACTATTTTTATTTTATTAAAAAATAATCATTAAATAAAAAATATTGATTATATTATAATATAAATTATCATTACAATTTTCAAACGTTATTATAAAGTCAAATTAAATTATTGATTTGAAATTTTAAATTAAATCATAATTAATCAGATCAGACCAGATCAGATCAGATCCAATCAGATCAGATCAGATCCAATCAGATCAGATCAGATCCAATCAGATTAGATCAGATCAGATCAAATCCAATCAGATCAGATCAGACCAGATCAGATCAGAACTTATTAGAATCAGATCATATCAGAAAAAATAAGTTGAACGGAACGGAGCCTAAGTATGAAAAACCTTTTTGTATAACCTTTTTCACAAGAGAAAGAAATGACAAGGCTACTAGAAAACTTGGTTTGAGTTGTGCTTACAACCCCGCCAGCCTATACCGAGGCTTTATAAAGGCAAACAACAATGTGCATGAGTGATATTCCTTGGCAAACCAAAAGGAAGACACTTACTTTAAATGAAGGGAGAATAGTAAATGGATTTGAACACACTGACTTTTCCAATGCCCCACTCAACAGTTCCAAAAGCCAAAAAAATTTGGGCAGGACTAAATATCATTTTATACCAACACTCCATAATTGTCAAGTCTTTCTCGAAACCAATGGGTCCTAAACGCTAAACTTACAAAAAGCTCATGAGGTAGCGAGAAAGGATATCAAACGAGCCTTCGACGTGTTGAAGGGTAAGTGGCACATTCTAGATCGTTAAAGTCTCATTCTCAAACGAAAATGAGGAATATAATATACACATGTTTGTAATTTTTCATTACAACCTTGACGAGAAGGTGCCTACGTACAAAGAAATTGATGAAAAAAAGAAATGAAGAAACCGCCAAGAAATTCGAAGCCGAGAGATTCACAATGAACTAACGATGGATTTGATTGAACATATTTTAGTCGCTCAAATAATTAATAATTTCTTTGTAATGTAATTTTTATCTTTTTATTTATTTGTTATTATTCAAATCTTATTTTATTAATGTCATTTTTTATTTAACGAATTATTTTTGTTTAGATTCCATTTATTAATGAACTCTAATTAATTTAATTTTGCAAAATTAAAAATGTAAAACATAAAGATTTGAAGCTACGGGACTTCAAACTTATTTTCAGTGAAATTATGATATAAGTTAAAAGAAGATTAAAATTGATGTGTCAGAAAAAATATATTTAAAATTCTAGTTCCAGCCACAGATTTCAAACCAATTTCCACTCTCTAATGTAGAGTTAAGATCGGAGTATTTACAACCGGCAACCCCAACACTTTGTGTTTGGAATTGTGGGTGGAAAGAAGATGGCCGTTAAATTTACTTAGCTCATAAGCCTCATTTTGTAAGTCACATACTCCAAACATGTCAATACAGAGCACAATTAAACGTGGTGGAACGTGGAATCAAATCTGGACCGTGTTGCGATTCAATAACCCAAACATGTATGTTGACCGTTGTGCTGATCGAAATTAAATACTCCTCCCTCAATCTCAGATTCTTTACCATATTTCGAAGAAAATGTAACATATGATCTCTATTAAAATTATTTTGTTTACAAATGAATTGATAGATAAAAAATACAAATTACACCGTTAAAAAATACATCAAAAGTTCTACAGAATAAGATTCGACAAGAACATTTTGTTTTATCAAATGATCAACAAAAATGAGAAAACAAAAAAAATTATCGAAAGACTGAAATTGTAAACATGACATTCTTTTTTGGGAGAGAGGAAGTACAAAATAAGAAATTACTCTGAATATGAATGAGACATAAAAAAAGTATCAAAATAGGAGCTTCAAGTTATCTTCAAAATAGGAGTTTGCATTGTGATAATGTGATACTGTATATAGACATTTTACAATACTTTTTATATTATATATTGGCATGACTGGTATTGTATATGCATTTTAACTTTTATTTTGAGAATAAAAATATGAAATTCCTTTTTTTATTATATTTACTGCTACTTTAGCTTTTTCTCTACTATTGAGTACATCATACCACATGCTCCATTTGTCCCCTAAGATCGTCTCATTTTAACTTTTTGTTATTTTTCAGAAGAATTGAAAAAGATAAAAATTTATGAAAATACCCTTAATGGAAAAGAGTGGAGTGTATTAAATGAGATGGGTGAGGTGTAATAAATAAAGTAAGTGAGGTAGCTGTGAAGTTTATAATGTTAAAAAAGGTAATGAAAGATCTATGAAAGACAAATAAAAAGGACTAATGAGAAAATATATGGAGGGCGAAGGGAGTACTTCCTATAAACTACACCTTCCATCCTCCATTAATCTTCACATTACACGTTACAAAGTTTGACCGACTTAATTTAATGTATTTGATTATACGTGAAAGAATTAAATTTATATAGAAAAAAACATTAAAAACTCTAAAAAATAAAAGGTGACATGTCTATTATTTAATGAAATGAGTATTAAATATAAGCAAACAAAATAAATTAAATTTGATTATGTGAACCGTTTTTGTGTAAATCTTTGTGGGACGAAGGAAGTATAAAGCAATCGGTCTTTTGAAATAGGAGGTAGAGTAGATTTCAGAATGGAAAATGCTAGGGGTACACCAAAAGTGTACCCCAAACATCCCCCACCCCCTCCATCACCACACAAAAAAGGCAAGAAAGTTTCAAAAAAAAGTAAAAAATAAAAAGAAAATAAAATGAATGGTGTAAGAGAATATAATTGAAAATATAATTGAAACGCTGCGTTTTGCGCTGGCGATGGAAAAATTCCGTCGCTAAATCCGTCGCCAAAAACAGATCTAAAAATGGGAACTCTTCTCAGTTTCTCCGATTTTGCAGACAGAAACCGCAAAGAGTTGTTGTCTAGTTTCGTCTCCTCCGCGACGCCTTCCGCCACCATCATCCGCCGGTCGTTGTCTGATCATCTTCTCCGTCCGCCACCATCAACCGCCGGTCGTCTACTCATCTTCCGTCACCGTCCACTTGAAATCTCAGATTTTGTTTTTCATTTTTTCATCTTTTATTCAATTTCAATTTCTGAATTAGTTTGTTTTTAATTATAATTGTATTGCTTACATTAGGGGTTTTTAAGTTAACATATTTTGTTTATTATTACAAATTTAATTTTAATTTTATAATTATTTTATATTAGGGTTTTTTTCAAAATTTAGTCATTTGTTTTAAAAAAAATTTAATTATATTCTTGAAAGTTTTAGTGAATGAATATCGTGCTTATTAATCATTTATATATTGTAACTTTTATATGAGGAATGAATTTATGCTAATTAATTGTTTAATAGCATATTTTGGATATTATTAATGTTATATGAAGATTGTATATGTATTATGTATGTTATTGAATATTGTGGTTGTTCCATTTGTATTTTTAATGTTTTTTTAATTCTATAACTTAATAGTATGTTAATTTTATTTTTATGAATTTCTAAGAATAGTGACTTTCACAAAAATCGAAATTGGATGTATAAAAGACTTGGTAGTTCTTGTTTTATAAATACAGATTGGGTTTTATAAATACAGATTGAGTTGCACCAAACTTAGATTCAAGTCTGGAATGTGAAATTTTCACATGTAAAAATTTCTATTCAGAATTTCTATTGAATTTCTATTTGTATATTTGTATTAAATGTTGTTAAACAGTATTAGAAGACGGCAAAGTTCTTTGCATCCTCCAAGCAAAACAAGAAAAATCGTCGTGGTGGTGATGAGAATGGCCCTGCTAGGGCCACGCACACCGGTGGTCTATTGTCTTTTCGCGAGTCTCAAGCACGCCTTGTAAGTATTATTAGTAACATTATTTTCATTTAAATGTTTTAACTGACATGTTTACACTTATTTATATATTTTATTATTTTAGGGTAAAAGTAGACAAGCTTTTGACTTGTACTCTTCGTACACACACACATACAAAGAAACATGATGGGAAGACCTACGTCAATAAGAAGGCATAAAAAGTATTAGTAAGTGACAATGAATATATATTGTATATATAAATGGTTAGTTTTCGTTGAATTCAATTGGATGTGAATTCATACTACTCTACGTATTTTGCTTTTTATGTTAATCTATATACATGTATGTTTGGTGTATTGCAGCAAAACTACGAAGTCACGCAGAAGGCAGTTCGAGAATAACGCTTAAATGTGACACGTGACGAGATTTTTATATCTACAGCCGGAGGACATGATGCCAAAAATCGTGTTCATGGTGTTGGAGATCTCGCAGGAAGCCTACCACGAATGCATGCAAGTGAGGCAAGACGTGCTAGCACCATCTCTATGTGAGACCCTCAAGATGATGAGATACGGAGGTTGAAAGAAGAGCTAGACGACATTAGAGCTTCCCAAGTGCGTGAACTATTGTCGATTATAGAAGAGATGACCTGATGAGATACGAGGTTTGCACGCGCTTGTTGAATATTTTATTAGAATTGAAGAACATTATATTAAACTTAAGTTTGATGGTTATGTAAGTGGAGTTAGATTTGATTGTTAGGTTGAATTTTTATAAATATTATTTGAATTTTAATTGTAGTTTGGTGGTTTGAATATTCTTGGTTGTTTGGTATTTTTCATTTCTAGTATTTGTTGTTGTTTGATGATGTGGATTCCTGGACTAGAGCAGGTTGGTATGGATGTTGTGTGAAATTGAAAAAATGGCAGCTTTCTGTATTCGTGCTGTAAAATTGGCGACGGATTTGGCGACGGAAACGGTAGCTAAAACCATCGTTAATCTTAGCGACAGAAATTTTCCCTCGTTAATTCCGTCGCCTCATTCCGTCGCTAATTCCGTCGTAGGCTAGCGACGGATTAAATAATCCGTCGTTAAACTTATTACTAACGAAAAAATAACGACGGAACACAAACCGTTGTTGTTTCCGTCGCTAGGCCGATTCCCTACGGAAATCAGGCTTTGGCAACGGAATAATTCCGTCGCGATTTCAGCAGTTTTTTGTAGTGTAACATCTTCTCATAGAAGAAGAAGGCTTGTTCCACGTTTACAACGACAAGTTCACACAACGAATGTTCAATTTACGAAGGCGTCTTATGCAATTATGACGAAGAAAATGTAAGGTAGTTCGACGTGCTCGAGTGGTGAGAGTGTAATGAGCATATGTTCCCGGTATTTGGAATGCTAGCTAGACATGTGTTGTCTATGTCTGTGTCAATGACCGCTGTGGAGTAATAGTTTAGTTCAAATGACATTTTGATCGACTTCCGAACTAGTCTCAACGCCAAACCACTAGGGACCCTAATATGTAACCGAGATTGGATCTTGATGATGCGTCAATGACAAGAGGCATGGTCCGAGTGTAATACATGGATCCGAAGAACTGCATGGACGCAACAGTGGCGAAGTATATATTTTTATTTGAAATTAATATAATTTAGTTTTTTAGGTGAACTATGTATAATCTTCTTTAAGAGTTTCTTTACGTTTCTTTATCCTGTCAATTTGTTTGAACCGTCACACTATCAAATGTAGTTGTAATATGTGTACTTTCAATTTTCACTATTTTATAAGTAACGATTATATTTAAACAGGTGATTCTAGAATAGAAATTGGTCTATAACCTGACACTATTGAATCCGAGGATTTTAAGACAGAAATTGGTCCAGAATTCATGCCTTGATCAGTTGTGAAACGTTTATTGTCAAATTTTTAGTATAAAAATTACTCTTCTATCCTAAAACGTTATTCTCAGTTACTATTCACACAGTTAAACTTTAATCACTTTATTTACTTATTTTTGTTAGTTATTTGATAAAATAATATGATCTTGTCACTTCTCATTTCGTAGAATTTTTGATGTACTTTTTAACTATATAAGTTTTATTTTTAAATTTTAATCTACAATCAAATAAATTAAATTAGAAATAAAGGCGAACAAACTTTGTAAACAAAAACGGGAAAAATGTTTTAGGACGGAAGGAATAGTACTCCCTCCGTCCCCCTAAGATATTCTCGTTTTGACTTTTTGTGGTTTTTAAGGAGAATTGAAAAAAGGTAAAAGTTTACCATAATACCCTTAATGAAAATGGGTGGAGTGTATCAAATGATGTAGATGAGGTGTAATAAATAAAGTAAGTGAATGTAGTTGTGATATTTTAATTACGGAGTATTAAAAAAAAGTAATAAAAAAATCAATAATAAACCAATAAAACGGATGATGAAACAGCCGGAGTCGTTTGTGTAGGTGAGGCATTGTGATATCACAAATGTGTGAAAAACTGAAAATGATTGTCTTTAAAATAACATTATTTTTGAAATACCTTTAAAATAAGTTGTCAACGATCGTATAGAGTTTTTATGGAGAGGCAGGGAGTATATAAGACCAGTCCATCGTCAACTAGACACCCCGTCTTAAATTCTTTCTTATCTAAGAACGCCGGCCTAACTCCGCCGCCGCCGCCGTGCCCCGGTTCCAGATCCAACGTCCCCTATGGATTCATCAAACGGCTCTGCTCGCGAGCCCCTGATAGGAAGCCACGGAGAAGCTTCATCTCTCCACGCGGAGGCCGGAACCAGCAATGAGCTAGAGAGTATCCTGCTCGATGCAGAAATCCCACGGTGGCAGCGTCTCAAGCTCGCCACCTGGGTCGAGCTGAAGCTCCTCTTCTACATCGCCGCTCCGGCCGTCGTCGTCTACATGATCAACTACCTAATGTCCATGTCCACCCAAATCTTCTCCGGCCACCTTGGCAATCTCGAGCTCGCCGCCGCTTCCCTCGGCAATACCGGCATTCAGATCTTCGCTTACGGTCTCATGGTACGCCAATTTCACTTATACTCAACCATTTCCCCCCGATTGATTTCTTCCCCTTATTTTGACCCAATTTTTGAAATCTGTTCATCGGAAATGAAATCCATCTCTGTATATCCTGAATAGCTGGGAATGGGGAGTGCAGTGGAGACTCTGTGCGGTCAAGCGTTCGGAGGAGGGAGATACGAAATGCTCGGAATCTATCTCCAAAGATCGACAATACTCCTGACAATAACCGGACTCCTTCTCTCCCTAGTGTACATATTCTCGGAGCCGATCCTGGTCTTCCTCGGACAGGCGCCGGACATAGCCTCGGCGGCGGCGGTGTTCGTGTACGGACTAATCCCGCAAATCTTCGCCTACGCGGTCAACTTCCCCATCCAGAAATTTCTACAGGCCCAGAGCATCGTGGCGCCGAGCGCCTACATATCCGCCGCCACGCTGGTGGTCCACGTCGTCGTGAGCTGGCTGTTGGTGTACAAGGCCGGCCTGGGCCTGTTGGGCGCGTCCCTGGTGCTGAGCTTGTCGTGGTGGGTGATCGTGGCGGCGCAGTTTGTGTATATAGTGAAGAGTGAGAGGTGCCGGAAGACATGGACGGGGTTCTCCGTCCAGGCCTTCTCCAGCCTCTGGGGTTTCTTTAAATTGTCTGCAGCTTCTGCTGTTATGCTATGTTTGGAGACCTGGTACTTCCAGATTCTTGTTTTGCTGGCGGGTCTTCTTGAAAACCCGGAATTGGCCTTGGATGCACTCTCTATTTGGTATGCCATCATCTTCTTTAACTTTATATGCATATTTACAAACCCTCACTTAGCTTACAACATCCACAAACAGACAGTTTCAGTTCTGCCAGAGAGTTTCAGCCAGGGGACAAAAATTTGAATAAATAAATAAATAAATAAGACCTGCAGAACAAAAAACAATCTGAAGTCCCATTGAGTGGTAATTTTGTATTGATTTTGGCATCCATCTTCTGACAATTTTTAGATTTAGACATCTAGCATTTTGGAAATTCTACCCAACGTTAGATTTTCGTGCTAGCGTTACAAAGTTAATCTGGACAATTAAAAATAATCATCCAAATGCTAACCATAAACACCGTTTCCAAACAAAGCCTTTGATACAACTTTCTTAAGATGACTCAAACTCGAGATGACACCAGTAAATGTGTTAAGTGAAGGGTGTAACTCAGTTTAGTAGTGAATTAAACTCTTTCGATCACGACTTTGCCTTCACAACTCACACTAACAATGACAGTGTTCATTGTCACTGCTTGTTTATGTGAAGGTGGGGCACTATATATAGAATGGTTGCCCATATTGTGGGAGTTATGAGGGACTAGACTAGTTTAAGAGTGTATATATATAGTACCATGATTGGTACAAGTTTCTCCATTTTGCAATTTCTGTTTTGTAGTAATCATCCAGAGTGGCAATGCATAAGCAGGAAAATTGTCATTGTCTAGCCCTCCACCTCTTTTTGTTTTCAAATTTGGTCCTTGATCTTTTTTCTTTTCTTTAATTTGTTGTCTAGAGACTAGGATTATACATAAAAAAAGGTCGAGTACATTTCAGAAATGGTCCTTTTTACATGAGGATTTTCCACATTTAGCCTATTATATAAATAAGTACTCCTAGTGGTCGTACGTATTTGGGAACACCTCCATCTGAGGTCCTCCATTTCACCTTCTGTCAGTTAACCAGTAAAGTTGAATAGTAAATCCCAACGAACGGGCTACATATTTGGGAAAACGCCCATCGGTGGAATTAACTTCATTTACAATGGATATATGCAGAAATTTACTAAACTTAACAGTCAATTATTTGAATGTTAAACAGACCTCTGGTGGAAGTGTTTAAATACATAGGACCAGTAGGAGTATTTGTTTGTATAGACTAAGCATGGAAAACCTCAATTACAAAGGATTAATTATGGATTTTACTCATAAAAGTGTCACTACGAAACCTACCATTAAAAAAAGGGTCGAGGACTAAACAAACCAATGTTCCAAGAAAATCACCCTGATTCTAAATTTAAGTGTAGTAAGTAGTAATAATGTAATATATTCTCACAATATTACTTTAACCTCTGTTGGAGGCTAGCTAATTCTTGGAAAACGTTTTAAGTAAATGAAAATTACAAGAGAATGAAATATGTTCCAAAAACAGATATGGTTCATGTGTTCATAAAAGATGTCTTGAAAAACAATCATGGCACATAGTAACACTCTTCACTTTTTTCTTTTTGTTAATTTAACTTTAAGCATCACGTGTATGTTCTAACTTCTAATTCATTTTTGTTGTTATTTTATCCATTTATTGATTTATTTGCAGTACAACTATCTCAGGATGGGTATTTATGATATCGATTGGATTCAATGCTGCGATAAGGTTAGAATCAACATACTTATAAAGATACACACACAATGTGTGTGTGTGTGTGTGTGTGTTAATGTTATGCAAAGCTGAATATACTATGGGATTGTGATGGATGACAGTGTGAGGGTGAGCAATGAACTGGGAGCAGGGCATCCAAAATCCGCTGCATTTTCAGTGGTGGTTGTCAACGTTGTCTCCTTGATCATCTCATTGATTGCGGCCGTCGTCATCCTTTTGCTGCGTGATGAAATCAGCTATGTCTTCACCGGAGGGGAAGCCGTGGCCTATGCTGTTTCTGACCTCTGCCCGTTGCTTGCGCTCACTCTTGTCCTCAATGGGATCCAGCCTGTGTTATCCGGTAAGTAACATTCGACCTCACCCAAATTTTGCGCATGTTTTAATCTTGTTGTCACACAATGATGTGTGACACCCTCACATTATGAACACACTTGTTGAAGGTGTGGCGGTTGGGTGCGGATGGCAAACGTTCGTGGCCTACGTCAACGTGGGATGCTATTACGTAGTTGGAGTTCCTTTGGGATCAGTCATGGGATTTTATTTCAAACTAGGAGCAAAGGTAAATTCTGAAATTTATTTTCCTAATATTCCCAATATATGTGCTTTTCTTAGTTAAGGAATTTGAAAGAGAAAAGAAAGCAAAATGCTATGAAAAACAATTTTTATTGTTTGGTTAGAAAGGAAAAGAAAGGATACAACAACAACAAGCTGAATTAAGGTTGCGTTCTGTTTGTCTGATGTCTGATCTGACCAGATTTGATTTTTTGAAGATCTGGTCCAGTCTCGTGTGATTGTAGTTATATTTAAAGCTCTTTCTAATCTTATGTGCTCTTGTATGATTTGATGATAATAAGAATAAGTAATAAGCTAAAAAAAGAAGTTGAACGAAACACAGTCTATGAGGAGGGAAACCGAATTTTTTTCTATTTTGGTGAGGAAAATGAGATAAAACAATTTTTCTTTCTTTTGCTTCCTAATTCCTTGAACCAAACATAGTGTAGAAGTTGCTTTGGCAAAAACACAAGGTAAAGTTTTCCTAGGTGGTAGTAGTGAGGGTCAAACTCGCGATCTCTCAGTCAGTCATATCAATGAACCAAGTACTCGGGCACATTAAAAACTGAAGTTTGTGGTTGTAGGACGGGGTTCTGAAACTAATAATTTTATGTGGCCCTAAATCAATGTAATTCTTGGATACCGAAGTTAGTTTATGCTGGGTCCAAAGTATATGAAGTGGTTGTTGGGGCAGGAATTCTCACCTAACACAAAAAGACATGAATAGAAAGGGCACTTGTTGGTTTCATCTGCGACCAAATATTGACCTGATATACTCCGTATATATATATATATATGGGCTCTTGGTTATTTTGTAGGGTATATGGTGTGGAATGATTGGGGGGACAGTGATGCAGACTATCATTTTAGCTTGGGTAACTTTCCGTACTGACTGGGCCAAAGAGGTAACTTTTGCTCTTCTTCTTGAACCACACATGACACAATAGGAAATAGGAGCATGCTACATGTATCCAAAAATTTGTATCTCATTTGTACACCAAAGGTGTGCACCAACATTTTGATGGTACACACTGACACAAAGTGTTGGTGCGTTAACAAAAATTAGCATTACACCAATACAAAATGTTGGTGCATTCCTGCGGTGTACAAAATGGGGTACAAATTCTTGGAGTACAAATACTCTCCTTCTCCAAATCTACTCGACATTTTAATTTCACGGAATTTAAAAGATATTGAAAAGTGAAAAGTATTGTTGAAATTCACTCCCTCCCCTTATCTTTCTTTCCGTTTTTCTTTTTGAACCGTCGTTTTTTTCAACAACTAAAATACTTCCTCCGTCCAATCAAGGATTTTCCTCCTTTTTTTTAATTCGTCCCAAATAATTTTCCCCCTCTTTCTGTTTTCCTTTTTTTTTATAAAGAAAAGAATGTGGTCTAAAATATTTATCTCTCGTCTAAACAAATACTGGGGTATTAACAACTCACTCTTCACTATTAAGCTATTTTTTTCAGCACTTTTCTTAATTTCCATGAAGTCAAATGAGAATTACCTCACCATCTTTTCTAAGTATTTTATTATGTTGAAACACCTGCGCAGGTTGAAGTAGCCAAGAAAAGATTGAATCAATGGGGCGCAGGGAAAGAGCCTCCTCTTTTGAAGAACTGAAAGGGGCGCCCGTGTACCTATACTATACATCCGGATGTATGATGTTTCGCGTACATCCGCTTGAATACTCATTTTCGAATAACTGAATACTCATTTACGATTATAATTGAATTTTAGAAAAATAAGTATTCAACTACTCCAAAATGAGTATTCCATTTTTCGAAAAATGAATATTTAGTTGCTCGTAAATGAGTACTCAGGACGGATGTACGGGAAATATCGTACTACCGGTTTTACGGTATATATAGCTTCGTATGCCACTGTATTATTATTCCATCTTCGTCGAAAAAAGCCAGTTGAAATTTGTCACTAATAGGTGCCCATTTTTCATCCCTATCCTTCGAATTGTCAAAGGTTAGGGGTTAAATCAGCCAAGGGATTGGGACCAGCAAACGTGTCAAGGGATGTGCAATATTTTTACTTTGTGTATTGTTTTTTTTTTTTTGGAAGGATTACTTTGTGTATTGTTGTTCTTAGTTTATTTGAAAATAAATTCACGTTGTTGGTGATTTTCTTTGACTGTCACAACTCACAAGAAATAAAGTACCTTGGGAAAAATTGGATCAGATAATTTTTCTTGGATTATCATAATTACTCTGTCCCAATTAAAATATTCAGTTATTATTCCAGGGTTATTCTAGGGCCATCAAAAGATCGATGTCGGTAAGACCGAGTCTATTTCCATAGGGAGTTGTATTAAATTGTGTTTACAGAGTACAAAAATGCGAGAATAAATATAGAAGAGTTTGGGACTAGTCAATTACAATTATTCTTAGAATTAAGCAGCTTGGTTCAACTAATGGCATTTGGAAGGTCATTAGCTTCTAGGTGCAAGTACCCTATATATCTTGCATACATTTAGAGTTCATCCTATTGATGCCAAGACTCCTAAAAAGACACCATTTAGAAGGGGTATATCTATATTTCAACTAGGCTAAATGTTAGTTCTATAATACGAACTATGTTTCAATGTATGCTCTATTATCATATGAATCTCAAATAATGCAAATGAATAATGATACTCCGTATATGACAACCATAATCAAAGCACAATAAGAACAAGAACAAGAACAAATTACAATAGTACTATTGAGCTAAGAATCGAGGTCTAATGGCAATTACAAGACACCGTCCCTAACTTTAACACAAGTTAGCACAACATAATGTGGAATACATTACCAAATTAGAGTTAAGAAATGAAATTACACGAAGCAAGTCCAAATTTGAAGTTGGAGCTCTTCTTCCTAAAAGAGGTACAGGTGAATGTATACTTCGATCAATGCTTTAACTTTTGAGGGAGTGTTAAAGAATTTAGAAGAAATATAGAATTAATGAGTACTCCTCCCGTAAGGGAAATTACAAAATTATCATAAACTTGACAGTACATTAATTACAGTTAATAAAATGACTAATCTGAGGAAGAATCTCAATTATAGAGGACCATCTTATCCATTACTTTTTATGAAGAACTAAATTGGGAAAAACCTTCTTAGAAAGCACTACTTTAGGGATTTACTCTTTTGACAATGTACTCTAAGTTTAGACAATGAAAGATATCAAAAAAGTCTTCCACTTAACAACCATTTATCAAACATTTTTGATGGATGACTAATAAAATAATAAAATCTCAAGTATATGGGAAATATATTAAAGTAGGAGTGCACATTGAAAATATACCAAAACCGAAGTTTCATGTTTTTATTTTTAAAATGAGAGTTAAAATGATATACAATGTCAATGATGTTAATATAAATGTCCATATATAGTATTTCATTATCACAGTACAAACTTTTATTTTGGAAATAAATATATGAAACTTTTATTTTGGTACTTTCTCTATGTTTTAAATCTATTTAGGGTGATTTCTTTAATTATAGAGTATTCCTTTCATCCCAAAATAAGACTCATGTTCAATTTACGATATTTGATTGAGGTTATTTTCAAATCAATATAAATAAAAAGTGGTGTAGAACTAAAAAATAAAAATTATATATTAAAATAGTACATTAAAAGTTTTACAAAAAATGGTGAAAAGATTATTTCATTAATCAAATGATCATAGAAAATGTATAAAAAAAAGTAATCTTAATTTGATATGTGAAAAATAATTAAGTCTTTTTCAGGACGAAGGAGTAACACGTAGGTAAATTGATGCTTATTTGAAGTAATAAAACGGGGTAATGCCCAATAATTTCATTGACTTATGAAAACGATTCTTATTAGATTAAAGAGCTAATTAAATTTTTTTATGTTATAACTTATAATGCCTAATCAATTTATTGATTTATGAAAGCTCTTTTACCTGGTTAAATATTTTCTTGAGAAAAAAAAGGGTAGCGTATAAATCCAAACAAATCCAAATGCCAAATAGAATAGTAAATGCAGCTTCATTCCCCTTGCAAGGCTAAAGAGGTTCGATCAACAAAAGAGAATTCAAAGCGACTTGCCAAAGTAGATACAAGCAAAACGAACTTCCTATTGCAATTTATTAAAAGCATATATATAGGCATAAAGATCCATTATATTCAAGAGCTTTGAATATCAGCAGCAGCAGCATTGCTCCACACCTATCGGTCATGAAACCTGCATTCAATTTGCTGGTTCGAATTTCACAAAGCCGATCGACAGAAATGACATCTCAGGATCATAAGATGAATTCATGAACAAAGTGAAGGTAGATACAGACCTAACAGCTAGCTTCCTGGTCGGAGCCCTCCTTCATATCAGAAGTGTGCACGGATTCGCTGGATGACATTGTTAATTCAGATGAAGCTCCATTACTCTGCAGAAGGGAAGAAACCGAAATTCGAGTCACATACTGGTACAAAAGAAGATACAGATTCTACATAATTGAATTCAGATGCTATAATGGAGTCAATTAGGAGATATTATTAGAGGAGAAGTGCAGACATTCTTCTTGAACTCTTCCATAGCACTTCCATACTGAACCTTCAGCTGTGATGCCTTTTCCACATATGGAGCTTTCTCCTAAAAAGTGCAGGCATATAGAAAACGTATAACCAATGGAAGTATGCTTCTGATCTAATTAATCAACTGTTTTGAGCAAAATTAAAGCAAAACTAACAATAAGGCATTGAGACTACTCACAGAGTCAGACATCAACTTCCATTTATCACCACCAGCTTTGGAAACCTAAAATGAAATTCAAGAAATTTAGAATCACTTAAAGCAAAAAGTCATCGCCTGAGTGAAAAAACTATGTATCAACAATGAAATGCAGCAGAGTATATTTGATAAAGCTTTTTAGATTAAATATCACATATGAGTGTAAACACCAGCAGATCTATGCAAATACAATTGCGAGAGAAACTTAAGTCAAAGCATTAAAAGGTCTCACAGCAGCTACGGATTTGTTGTCCGGAAAATTCTCCTTGTAACTCTTGCGGAAATCGCTCCTGTATAACCATCAACCGTAGCAAACAGCAATAGCCGGAAAAATGAAAATCAGTCGGTGAAAATACAGATTAATTAACACGGACGGAAAATCGAGTGAAAACATCGATCGAAGTCATGATACGATTTGAAATAAAACGACATACATGAACACCAGGTACGCAGAGAGAGGACGCTTCGGAGCTCCAGGAATCTTATTCGCTTTTCCCTTCTTTGTTGCGTCCTTGTTAGCTTTGCCGCCTTTGCACTTCTTCGTGCAGCTTCTCAAAAAAAATGAAAGGAACGTCAGAAACAGGCGAACAGCGAGTATACAAAGCAGACGGCAAAGTACTCGGAAATCAAACTTAAATTATGCCGAGATCTGGAAAACGGAACGATCAATAGAAGGAAACTACTGCAAATTTAAAGGTTAACATTCTCCAATTGACGAATTAAAAGGAACTCTGCTCGTGAAATCAAATTGCTGCCGGCGAACAGAAAACAAAAAGGATCGTACACATTCCGATGAGATGTATTTGAGGAGAGAGAGAGAGAGAGGCGAAACGTACTCAGATTCGAGCTTCTTCTGAGCAATGGAGGTGGCCTTCAGTCCTTTCATGGCGTCGTCTTCTTCGCTTCGTCGAGAAAGAGCAGAGAGGAGAATTTGAAAGTTTAGAGAGAAGTTTAGATCGTGCGAAAAAAGTGAGACGAAATCGTTAGCTCGTGGGGTATGGGGCTATTTGTACTCGCGGAATTTCACAGCAGGGGGATTACACGTCACCTGCTCACGAGTAACGATATCCCTTTTTTTCAGTTTTGGCCCGTAAAAGAAAGAAAGTGGACCCACAAAAATTGTTCCCAAAATAAAATCATTCTCCAAAAAAGGTGAAATCGCTCACCCCGAGCGTCCCTCACCCCCGACCTGACGGGATTGTGAGAGGAGGTAAATCACGGTGACCCAAGCACAACACTTAGCTAGACCATATCCTAGTGCGCACCAGAGACTCCCCCCATTTTTCAGAGGTAGTCGCCCCCACATTGGTCGCTGCCAGGTTTCGATCCTTGGTCATTCTCCAAACTTCACCAAGTGTTTGCCACTTGGGCTACCCGTACGGGTTCCCAAAATAAAATCATGTCGTATAATGGGAAGGACTCCGAAGGAGCGCGACGAGTTGACTGTCGTGGCAGGAGGGTCTGACCGGCGCGTGACCTCTATGACTCCATGTCCATAGTATGTTTATGTCCCGCTTAATCATGCACAAATTTTGAGAATTTACTTTATGAGGATAATAATTTAGTCTTGGACTATTAAGAATGATGTCATGAGGAAAACCTCTAATGTATTTCTTGTGTGAATATAATGAACAAGAAAAGACTATAAATAGTGAAAGTATCTTAGCTGATGAGATTTCAAGGAAAATTAATATTATAAGTACTCAAATATCTTAGGTTCTTAGAGCATCAGCAGCGACATGTCAAAAGAATGCCATGCCCTGCCACATCAGCGGTGGAGGCATGGCGCGAGGCAATCCAGGAGCATTCCACCCCACCTATCGTGCTATCTGCGAGACATTATTATTATTTATTAGTTTCGTAATTATTATTTTTATTAATAATTAACATTATTAGAGTATTTGAGAAGGAAGATTGAAGAATCTTCTTCTTTTCAAACAAGATTGAAGAGAAGATTTAAAATAGAGGAAGCAGTGAGACCAATCTAGATTTTCACCTTAAGTCCGACAAGGACACAACGGTGGGGGTCTAGTTCATCCCGACATAGATTCTGGTGGAAGGCTGTGAAACTATTGGATGCTCGACTAGTCGACCTACTCTGCACGACGAAGAAGGTTGTAGGCTCTTGTTGACAGATGAAGGAAACAATGGAGCTAGTAATATGTTTGATTCTTCATTTTTTGTTTTCTTTAATTAAGATTTCATATTTTTAAATGTCAATAATTACGAACTTGAATATCCAATATCATATAAAATGGGAGAATGATTTTTTTATGATAAAATATACGAAGTATAAGCGAAATAATTTTTTATTATTAATATGGAGTATATATTTTAAAAACTAAAAACACAAACTTACTTGTCATTGCAAGACTTGCCATTCAAGTCATCTGCCACTGCATGACTAGATTATTTTTTATTGGTCGAAATGTAACACGTGGCATTTCATTTTTGCCTTGCCATTCCTCGTTCTCTTAGCAATACAAGAGTTCCATAAAAATTGGAGTACTCAGTAAAATTATGAGTACAAGGAAGAAAATGTTATTGAGTACTCCGTACACCATAGTTAATTCGTACCAGCAAACTATTTTCATTTTTCTCTCTTCTCATAAAAATAAAATACTTTTAGTTTAAATTAAAATATTCATTGTACCCCAATTAATTATAAACTATATATTACATCATATTTCCCCCGTACCAAAACATTTATCATATTATGCAAAATGAATTGAAATTTCAACTTTTTTCAATTCAACTTATTTAACGATTGATATAAAAAAAATTATATATTTCAAAATTACGTCAAAAGTTCTCCAAATAAAATATAACAATAATATTTTACTTTATAAAAAAATTGATGAAAACATATAAATAAATAAAAAAAATCATAATTTTTTAATTGCGACATTCTATAGAGCTGTTCCATTGCAATGGACCCTATTCACGCTAGTAACGGTACGGTACCCCTGAACCCGTGGCAAACCCACTCACTCCGTGCGACCCGAACCCACCCCAACCCTTTCAATTTTATGCTCTGTAACCAAATCTACTGAGTTTTGGTGGGATTCGAACTCCCCACCCCACATTTGCAGTGTTCAACATTTTTTCCACAAATCTGTTCTTTCACTTCGAAAAAAAACGACATGGGAGATCTGACGAAGCTAACTGACTGGGTACTGTTCATCTTCTTCCTCTTGATCGCGGCGGTGGCGCCCCTGTTTGATGCCCAGTGTGTTCTTCCACGACACCTTTTCCCGACGTTCGCGGTGGACCTCAAAGCCTGGTACACCCGAGAATACGGCGACTATTTGGTTTCCGAAAAGCCCAATTTCTTTGTGGGACTGATATGGCTTGAGCTCCTCTTCGCATGGCCTCTCTCTGTACTCAGTCTCTACGGGATCGCCGCCGGTAGATCTTGGGTCAGCACCACCTGCTTGCTCTATGGCGCCTCCACTCTCACTTCCATGGTAAATTACCTAAAAATTAATTTTCCCCAGTCTATTTGTTATTCTGGTTGCAATCTTCATTATTCGTGATACCTTTTGATTTAAGATGTTTGGATGAAGCTATTTTTAACTCAATTTGTTCGAATATCGCCATAAAATTAACAGAAGATATGGGTTGAACTTTGAATAGTGAACGAAAACCTTATTTTGGGACAGAAAGATTATGTCTTGATGAATATTGTTCTATTTCATTAATTATTGAGATGAATTTATTTATTTTCTCGGAATATTTTGATCATGTTGCCCTCGTTTTTGTTTCAGGTTGCAATTCTTGCAGAGCAAACACAGTCCAAGAGAGCATCAGATAAGTTGCTGATGATGTACTACCCGTTCTTGGGATTTGCCGTTTTAGCAATGCTTCGCGGTCTCCTCCATGTTAGCAAAAGACCCGTTGTTGCCTTAAGCAGGAAAAAGAAGAAGGCTTGAATCTTTAGCCTCAGAAAACTGAGAATGATCAATTCGCATCCATGAATTGGTACTCTCTCTTTTTAATGGGCTTGTTTATGTTTTTAGTCCTGCAGAAATAAGTTAATTGTTTTGTTTTTTTCGTACTTCTCGAGTTATTCTGTTTACTTGCTTCATTGTGATTAAGGGGCTGTTTGGCAACTTCTGAATGGGTAAGTGCTGAACCAGTAAGAGGTCTGAACCATTAAGAGATAGTATATTGCTTAACTATTCAGAGGTAAATGTCTGATCAATTCAGATAAGAGGTCTTAACCATTCAGACTCTGTATAATATTTAACCATTCAGAGGCAAATCTCTTAACCATTCAGACATCTGAACCATTAAGAGGCTGAAACAAACAGTCTGAACCATTAAGTGCTGAACCATTCAGACATCTGAACCATTAAGAGGCTGAAACAAACAGCCTAGTTTTCGTTTTAGTTTCTCCCTAACTATCTGTCTAGAAATCAAGATTTTGTCGAAGCAAAAGCGTAGACGGGATTGAAATGAAGCGCAAAAGTAAATTAGGCATTGTAAGAAATCGTGACCCAATCCCACAAAGATTATTGCACTTTATTCATCTTCTTCCTGATTAGCTTCCTGGGTGGCTGGGTGGGTTGATGTACTGTTACATCCTTGCCTTTGCAACCACCGTGCCGCCATCCCCCATGTTCGTTGTTCCTTGTCTTGTCCATGTTTCTTGAAACTGCTCCTCGGTCACTCCTGCATTCACAACTCATCAGCAATACTTCTAGAGAAAGTCATTGAAATCAAGAATGTTTTTTTACCTTTCCCCATGGCAGCAGTGGAGGTGATGCCTCCCTGAACAGTCCTGAGAACCCTGTCGTAGTAGTTAGCACCGGACCATTTCTGATGAGCCAGCGTGTCAACTCCGTGCTTCCGTTCTTCCCTCTGTATCTTCTCCACATAAGCCAGCATCCCTCTTTTCGCGAAATCACTGGCGAACGTGTCGACAATCAGGGCATTGGCATGGAAGCCAGCCAGAGTGATGAACTGCCAGCAGAACCCAAGCTTCGCGATCCTTGGGATGAAATCTTTCATCTGGTCATCACTCATTCCTGATGCATCCCAGTTGAAGGACGGCGAGAGATTGTATGCCAACATCATCTCTGGGTTCATGGACTTCACTCCCTCTGCGAATTCCGTGCACTCCACCAGGTTAGGGCTTGCTGTCTCCATCCAGATGAGGTCTGAGTGTGGGGAGAACGCCCGGCCTCTGACAATTGCGGCTGATACTGACCCTTTGAACCTGTAGAACCCTTCTCTGGTTCTGGGCAAGTCCCAATCCCAGAAGAGGTTGTTGACTCCCAGTGTCAATGCTAGTTCCCTGCCCTGTTCATTCGACATGCATTTCTCATAGCTTGAATGCCTCTTCCACTCCATCAGTCTCCTCTGTTTTTCACTTTCCCCAATGTTCATCCTTCCAATCACGTCGCTCACGCATTCCGCGAAGGTCTTCAACTGAGCCATTGATAGCCAGTTGTCCTCAATGGCTTGGAGCTCCGGCCCGGTTTTTCCGGCAGCCATTGCCTCGGCCATGATCGTCGCCAGACCCTTCCCTTTTAGTCTCGGATTCGTTACCCCCAAAATGAACTGGTGGTCTCTGGTGTCAACGTTGGTTTGGATCAACGTTGCCGCCACCGCGTCAGTCCGTGCCACCAGGACGGTTTCGGTTCCCATGATGTCAAACTGCAGCCTGGCTGCCACTAGCCTGTTGATATGCTCGCTCACAGCAACCAATACCTGATGATATATACAAGAGAGAAACACCTAACCAGGACTAAAACATGCTTCATATATCAAAATAGGACTTTCAAAGGTTTTTATGAAGATTTTACTACCTTCCCTGCCATATGTCCACACTTCTTGGTAACAGAGGACTGGTCCTCGATATGGACTCCGGCCGCGCCGCGCTCCACGAAAAGCTTGCAGAGCTTGACGGTGGCGGTGGCGCCGCCGAAACCGGTGTCTCCGTCGGCAATGATGGGCTTCAAGTAGTCAATGAAGGGAGTCTTGGCCCTCTCCTCCCTGCCCATGTTCATCCTAGCCTCCCTCTGCTTCCTGTCATGGTACTGCTGGGCAAAGAAGAGATGCTGAACCTTGTTGGGGACGGTGTCGTAGGGGTAATCGGCGAGGTCGGGGCCCGGCTCGTTGGAGGTGGTGTGAGTGGAGGAGCACTGCCAGCCGGAGACGTAGACCGTGTCCAAGTACTTGGCCATCATCGTGACTTGGACCGGGTCAAGGGCACCAAAGGTCCTAGAGGCTGTCCCATTCGCCTGGTGGCTCTTCAGCGTCCGCCATAGCTTCTTCGCCATCTCGTTTGACCCGTAGGTTTGACTCAGATGTCCCCGTAGTGCCACCACGTCTCTGGCGGTGTAGGGGCGGCGCGTCAGCTTGAACCTCTCGGAGTTCCACCATGCTTCCACCTCTGCCACCTCCGCGTCGAATCTCCTCTCTTCTTCCAATATCTGTTCACCAAAAAAAATGCAGTCATATAACTGGCTGATATATAAATTTGATCAAAGTCTGGGTATATATAATATGTACCATTGAAGGTGCAGAGAAGTGGGGAGCCATAGACAGAACTCCAGATTTTATTTATTTTTTTAAATTTTTTCTTTAAATGTATATATGAGTTTATGGAACAACTAGGATTTGTATTGGATTGTGGAAGGACGTGCATGAATTTATAGAAGAAATATTTATAGAGATGGCATTTCTTTTTTTAGATAGAGTACAAGAATGAATGACCACATCACATTATATTCCCATGCACGTTACTGGAAATTGGAATTATCTCCCAAAAATAATGGACATATATTAAAGTAATTAATACTCCCTCCGTCCCATAAAGTATTACCCATTTTGACTAAAGTTAAAATTAAGGGAGAGATAATTTTGTGTTGACTTTCCAAAAATACCATTGATGTGATGAATAAAAGTAGGGTGTGATGTGCAGATTATTAGGAAAAAGGTATGATGTGATAGGTAGGGTTTGAAAAAGTAAGGGGTAAAAGTGGTTTTTTAATAGAAATGGGTAGGAGATTGTGGGACGCAATTTTTTTGAAACGTGTAAATCTTTTTAGGACGGAGGGAGTATATAACAAACACAGCCTTATCGGCCAGCTCGTGAAGATCGATCGAGGCCATGGCAAATCATTCTTCCATCGTTTCAGCCATGTCCATAATAATGCATATAGTTATTGTGTCCATAATTGTACCTATACTTTTGTTTATGTGTGCGTTTTGATTGATTATTTGATAAAATAAAATATTCTTATCACATCTTGTTTTGTTAAATTTTTTATATACTTTTATAATATATATAAGTTTTATTTTTATTTTCTATGCCAATATTTATATAAAAAAATTTTAAAAAAAACTTAAAATTTTGTTTTGTTTTGCGTAAAATGTTAAATACTACGTATTTTGGGATGGAGGGGATATGATGTTAGTTTGTCGTTTTCCTGGTTATGATTCATGATGACGTGGCAATCTCTTTGTGGTTACGTGCATGTACACGTTATGGGCTAATTGGATCAGCTTTGTTATAGCAATTACTCTAACTTTCTCACATAGGCCAAAAATTTAGAGCAATTTTAAGATGGGGTTGCTTCGGCCCAACTAGAAGTGGACATAAGTTGGGCGATTCATCGAAGCCCGAATGCCCAACTATTGGCTTGGACAAAAGATAAGCCATGAAGTTTGGGTCTTAGACACAAAAAAAAGCATGTGTTAAAGAGTATCCCATATTAAAAAAGTGTGAAAGAAATAATGGGTATATAAACTAGTTGAACTAAGTAATCAATTTGATTCATTTTTTTAATGTAGTTTAACACAAGTGTCTTATACCCCAGTCCAGTGCTCCGTACCCCATTCTAAATTTTAACATGGCATCTGAGTAAATTTTGGTCCACCTTGTTTGTTAAGGTGTCCGTCTAGACGTTCATTCCTAGCGGTCCGTTAATCTTTAACCTAGTTATCTGTATGAAGTATGCACTTAATAGCCTGTGGCCCGTTGAACCCGATTGCTCGTATGAAAGTTCATACCCAGCGGCTCTTGGTCCTTCAGGTGTTGGCGCTCAAGAAATTCAAGGGGATGAGAGTCCATTTGTAGGTGGTCAACCAGTTATTCAAAATGACTCGGTCGTCCACTTGAGGGGGAGTGTTAAAAAGTATCCCACATCGAAAAAATATGAAGAAAATAATAGATATATAAGCTTTTGAGTTGAACTAAGTAATCGATTGGATTCAAATTTTTTATGTAGTTTAATCCAAGTATCTTATTTAACTCAGTCAATTTAAGAAATGGGACCTTGGGACAATACGTTGGGCAAATTAAAAGCCTCTTCAAGCCCAAGTCTGTCCGGCCTTGTTTGATACTCCCTCCGTCCCACTATATTCGTCCACTTTTAAACTTTTGAAACTGTTCATCTAAGCACTTTGACTCATCAAATTCTCTCAATGTGTAAGCCTAAATATAGTCATGTGTGATCTTGTTTGATTTGTCTTAACATATAGATTATTAATATATAATTTATATAATTTTTTAATATACAAATTATAAGATAAAATGGATTAAAGAAGTGTATTGGATGGTGTGCAAAAATGAAAGTGGACAAATACTCTGGGACGGAGGGAGTATATAGCTTTTGGGTTAATAGTTAGTTGTTTGACTATACATGGCTGGTTTGACTAGTCAAAAAGCTATGTGTTTGGATTATGGCTTTCGAAGTTGGCATCTCGGCTCCAAAAGCTGAAATCTTTAACAGCCCGACGGAGCAGCAGTTTATATTTAGGGGGTGTATTCAATCTGGATTTTTTAAAAAAAATTTTAAACTTTAAAAAGTTAATGGATTTAGAAATCCATAGACTCCATGCAAAGTTTGACCTAGTTTTTAATGGATTTATCTAGATTTTGGAAGTCTAATGAAAGTCTGCATCACAATCACCTTCATCATCGAAGGAGGCCAAAGAGCAGCGAGTGTTGAGATAATCTGAAATCATTCGTCAGAATCTGTAAAAGGAAAGAATATATCTTTTAGTATATATTTTCGTATAGTAGTTTCCTTGTATTAGTAGTTTACTTGTATAGGGATTTCCTTGATTTCCTTTCCTTGTTTGGTTAGAATTCTCGGCTTGTGAGAATCTATATATTCGTGCCTCGGTTGTAAATTGGAACACACAAAAATACAGAGAATTCTCTCCCAAAATAATTCTTTCATGGTATCAGAGCCTAAAACCTAAAATTTCCGTAGCCACTGTTCTTGATCGACCGGCATCGCGTCCATCGGTCAAAAACCTGCTGCTGCCACCAGACGCCGGAACGGTCGACCGTTAGTGACGAACGGTCGAGGTCATCGACCGTCCCGACGACAGTGGTTCTTGATTGCTGCTGCGTTTTTGCCCTACTTTTGATCTGACGTCGGCTATGTCCGAGGAGGTGAACATGAAGATTATTTCCAACAAAAAGAACGAGGAACGAGAAGAAGAAGAAGTTGGGGTGCGTCGTCGACGTATCTCTCCGTATGACTTATCCCCGAGCGATAATCCGGGTATGATTTTGACCCATGTTGTTCTGAAAGGGGATAATTATGATGAATGGTCCAAATCTCTGCGTTTGGCTCTTCGAGCACGCAAGAAGTTTGGATTTGTTGATGGAACAATAGAGATGCCTGATCCTGATTTGGATGATTTTGATGATTGGTGGACGAACCACTCCCTGTTGGTCTCTTGGATTCGGAACACGATCGATCCAGCCTTGAGATCCAGTATTTCTTTTGTGGAGAAGGCATCGGCTCTGTGGAGTGATCTGAAGGCTCGCTTCTCTGTCGTTAACGGACCCAGGGTTCAACAGTTGAAGCGGGATTTAGCAGAATGCAAACAGAAGAACCTTTCTGTAATGGAATATTATGGAAAGATGAAGAAACTGTGGGATGATCTTGCAGATTTGGAACAATTCCCAGTTTGCACGTGTAGGAATTGCACGTGCAACTTGCAGGAGAAGCTAGCGGAGATGCGTGAGAAGGAACATTCTCATCAATTTCTGATGGGTTTGAATGATGAGTTGTATGGGACATTGCGGTCAAACTTGCTTGCCCAAGAAACCGTACCACCCGTGGCAAGAATATACAATATTCTTGTCCAAGATGAAACATCACGCAATGGGATGCACAAAGTAGAAAGCAAGGAGACAGGTGCGTCTGTGTTTGCTGTGAAAAACAAGATGGAGGCCAAGGAGCATATGTGCTCTCATTGTGGCAAAGGAGGACATGATGTTGAGGGATGCTACAAGCTCATCGGATACCCGGAAGGGTGGATATTTCGAGACCAGGCTGGAAGAGGAAGAGGGAACAACCGTGGGAGAGGAAATTTCCGCGGTTCAGGAAGAGGAGCGGGACGGTCGACCGTGGGTGCTGGACGGTCGACCGTCACGGGCGGTCGAAGTGAAGTGCATGCAGTTCAGGGCGAAGGGCCGTCTCCATTGCCCAATTTTGAGGATCTGACGTCTGAACAGTGGAATGCTGCTCGTCATGCTCTTTCACTTTCTCCCGTCGATAATTCTCAAAAACTTTCAGGTATTCCGGTATCACCTCGTTGGATAATTGATACTGGTGCGTCAAACCATATGACAGGTGATCTATCATTGTTATACGATGTGGTGGGAGTGTCCCCATGTGAAATTGGTTTGCCTGATGGAAAACGGGCTATATCCGTTCAATCTGGAAAGGTTGACTTAACAATGGCTATGACTTTACAGAATGTGTTGTTTGTTCCAAGTTTGAATTGTCATCTGATTTCTGTGTCACAGCTGACAAAGGATATGAATTGTGAGGCGAAGTTCACCAATGATTTGTGTGTCTTACAGGACCGAAAGTTGAGGACAATGATTGGTGTGGGTAGACAAGAAGGAGGACTATATTATCTAAAGAAGGAGGAAAGGAGAATGGCGTGCAGTGCTACAAAGGAGAATTCTTTTGATCTTTGGCATAAGCGTCTAGGACATCCTTCTTCACATGTTTTATCTTTAGTTCCTGTAGTTGGATCAAATAAGAGTAGTCATAGTCATTGTGACATTTGTTTGCGTGCCAAACAAACTCGTACCAGTTTTCCTATTAGCTTTAATCAATCTATGGATAAATTTGATATGGTACATTGTGATTTTTGGGGTCCTTATCGGACGCCGAGCTTTGATGGATCTACGATGTTTTTAACTATTGTGGATGATTTTTCTCGTGGTGTGTGGGTGTATTTGCTTGACTCTAAGCGTACTGTAGGAAGTGTCTTCAAGCAATTTTGTGCCATGATTGAACGTCAGTTTGAGAAGAAAATAAAATGTGTTCGTAGTGATAATGGAACAGAATTTGAGTGCTTGAATGAATACTTCCAAGAAAAGGGAATTATTCACGAGACATCCTGTGTGTCTACGCCACAACAGAACGGTAGAGTGGAACGTAAGCATCGGCATATTCTGAATGTGGGTCGTGCCCTGAGGTTTCAAGCCGGTCTTCCGATCGAATTTTGGGGAGATTGTATACAAACCGCTGACTCACATTCGTGTCTTTGGTTGCAGATGTTTTGTCCACAATTTGAAGAGAGATGGAGACAAATTTGCACCCAGAAGTATTCCTGGAATATTTTTGGGGTATCCACAAGGAAAGAAGGGATGGCGTGTTTATTTCCCGGATACCGGAAAGATCAGTGTGTCTCGTGATGTTGTGTTCTATGAAGATATTTTCCCTTTCTTATTTTCCACAGGTGAAACACCCAGAGAGGATGCATCAAGGAGCAACTTAGCCATCGATTACTTTGAAGATGCTGAGGAATTATTCACGGAAGATCATATGGACCGTTCCTGGAGGAATGGTCGCCCGCCGGGCAACGGAGATGCAGAAGGGCTAGAGACGGTCGACCTAGTGGACCGTGCCGAGAACCACGGTCGACCGTCGGAAGGGCAGAATGACGGATCCTCAGGAGAAGATTCAACGGTCGACCGTGTCATGGAGGACGGTCGACCGTTCCTGAGGCAGAAACCTGATGAACCAGCAATGCCACAGACGGTCGACCCCGTGGACCGTTCCACGGATGGCGGTCGACCGCCCCCGAGGCAGAAACCTGATGAACCAGCGATGTTACAGACGGTCGACCCCGTGGACCGTTTCATGAATGGCGGTCGACCGTCCCCTTCCCAGCAACAAGTAGAGACATTGGGGCGTAGTCAGAGGGAAAGACGCCCAAATGTGAGACTTGCGGACTATGTTACACATGTCACTGGACCACATAGCGGAGAAAGATGCAGATATCCACTTTCCTCGTATGTCACGTATGAAAAATTCTCTCATAAACACAAGTGTTTTCTCACCGCACTTGATGAGGAAGTGGAACCCACAAATTTTAAAAGGGCATTTCAGGATGAGCGATGGCGGAAGGCTATGCGGGAGGAGATTGATGCACTGGAAGCAAATGGGACGTGGGCGCTGGTTGCTCCTCCACGTCATAAAAAGCCCCTGGGCTGCAAGTGGGTGTACAAAATCAGATGGCAGATGTGGAGAGGTATAAGGCAAGATTGGTTATACTGCGCAATCATCAGGTTGAGTGACTTGACTACAAGGAAACGTTTGCTCCTGTGGTCAAGTTGACTACGGTACGCACTCTTCTAGCTGTTGCAGCTGCGAAGGGTTGGGAGTTGCATCAGATGGATGTACATAATGCTTTTCTTCATGGAGATCTTGAGGATGAAGTGTACATGAGACTGCCACCAGGATTTTCTAATTCTTCTAATGTGGTGTGCAAATTGAAGAAATCTTTGTATGGTTTGAAACAAGCTCCAAGGTGTTGGTTTGCCAAGCTGTCTGGAGCTTTAATACGCTATGGGTTTGTCCAGTCTGTTCCCGATTACTCCTTATTCTCTTTCGTTGGAAAGAAAAGAGTCATACATGTTTTGATTTATGTTGATGATTTGATTATTGCTGGAGATAATTCAGATATGGTGAGCAAGTTCAAGGCTTATCTAGGGGATTGTTTTCATATGAAAGACTTGGGGACACTGAAATATTTTCTTGGTATTGAGGTGGCGAGAAGCACGTCTGGGATATTTCTCTGCCAACGGAAGTATGCTTTGGATATCATTACTGAAGCCGGATTGTTAGGTGCCAGGCCGTTGGGTGCACCCATGGAGCCAAATCATCATTTGGCTCGTTCCCAAGCTCCCCTTCTGACAGATCCGGAACCATATCGTCGTTTGGTAGGACAGTTAGTATATTTATCTGTTACACGACCAGAGCTTTCTTATGCGGTGCACACTTTAGCACAATTTCTAAAGGAACCTAGAGAGGATCACTGGTCTGCAGCACTTGGAGTGGTTCGCTATTTGAAGGGATGTCCTGGGCAGGGTATTTTCCTATCTGCAGATAATAATCTTCAGCTCACCGGATGGTGTGATTCGGACTGGGCAGCATGTCCCCTGACACGGCGTTCGCTAACAGGTTGGTTTGTGCAACTTGGGGACTCACCTGTTTCGTGGAAGACAAAGAAGCAGACGACGGTGGCTCGTTCATCGGCTGAAGCTGAGTATAGGGCTCTCGCAGTTCTTACATGTGAGTTGAAGTGGTTGAAAAATTTGTTGCGATGCCTAGGAGTTGTACATCAGAATCCTATGACTGTCCGTTGCGATAGTACTGCAGCTCTTCATATTGCTGCTAATCCAGTTTTTCATGAACGCACGAAACACATTGAGATTGATTGTCACTTTGTTCGTGATGAACTTTTACGAGAAGAGATTCGTGCGTTACATGTCCCTACTACGCATCAGCTCGCAGATATTCATACGAAGGCACTCGGGAAGTCACGACTGGAGTTTCTTATTCCCAAGTTGGGCATTTCAGCGTTACATGCTCCAACTTGAGGGGGGGTGTAAAAGGAAAGAATATATCTTTTAGTATATATTTTCGTATAGTAGTTTCCTTGTATTAGTAGTTTACTTGTATAGGGATTTCCTTGATTTCCTTTCCTTGTTTGGTTAGAATTCTCGGCTTGTGAGAATCTATATATTCGTGCCTCGGTTGTAAATTGGAACACACAAAAATACAGAGAATTCTCTCCCAAAAGAATTCTTTTAGAATCAAATATGGCTTCACCATCACCAGATCCTATTATGGACAATGGCAGCTTCAGAGCAGGAGTTCACAAAGTTTTCAGGTCGCTATCTTCGTCACTGTTGCCAATCTCGGCGGTGTCGAAGCCGCTGTGGTCTCTCACAGACGACGAGGTGGAGAAGCGAGATTGGAATCGAAGTAAATCAAAACTCGGCCAAGACAACGACAACACCATCTGTTCCTCGTCGTTCGATGGTTTGTTCAAGCGAAATCGCGGCGGTCATCCAAAAGGGTTCGGTGACATCGATTGGGTCACTGGCGACGACGACGGTGTTGCCGCTGCACAAATCCAAGGAGAAGATAAAGCCTGGTTGCGTCGTGAAATGTGGATTAGTCGGAAAAGAGGAGAAGTCTGCAATGGGATGTTGGTCGGATTTGGAGCATAGATTTGTAGGCATGAAAATCCATCAAAATCTAGATTTTGAAAAATCTTTAAAAATCTATCAACTTTTGAATACCATCATATTTAGAAGGATTTGTAAAAATCTGAATTGAATACACTCAAATTCTAAATGACTTTTTTAAATTTGAATTGAATATATCTACAGACTTTTGAAATACAAAAAAATCCATCAGAATCCTGATTGAATACACCCCCCTTAGCGTCTAGGATTAATTACTCCGTATTTTATTTTTTTGCCCTTTTCTTAGCTTTATTTGCAGACCTACCGGTGCACCATATACTGAGTATAAAACTTATCCAGTGCTTTATTCACAGACAAACACAGACGATAATTATCTATGTCATACAGACGATTAGCATATGTGTTTGTCTGTGCAAAACATAGATGCACCCATAGTAGCACCCATATGGTGGCACTCTAGTATGACCCTTTTAAAAGGATTATCGTCTAACATTAGGGTTAGAGTTTAATAAAACTTATCTAGTGCCTACAATAACAAATTAAAGCATTTAGTTAAATTGGTTTCTTGTCGTAGTATCAAAACCTTGTTTACAAAGAGGTTCTGAGTTCAAACATCACTGCTACTCTATTTTAAAAAATTATATTTTAAATGCAAGACTCGAACAAAAATATATCTCGTTTGCACGCGAGATGGTATTAGAATTGAATTGGAAACAAATGAGTACGTAGTAGTATATGTTAGAGAAAGTGGGAGGATTCGACCCCAGCAGATTCCCGGGTCTTCAGATCCTCTTTTAGAAGAAACAATGCAAGCTACACAAAGAGGTGACGGTCCAAAACGCAATTGGCGTGGCAGACAACTTTCACGGTGACTAATTGACTAATGCATCCGGTCCTTTTTTTTGACAAATATCTTTGGAAATATTTGCACTAAGTAGCACTAAAATTTAAATTATTTTCTTAAATATCACTTAAATTGTTTTATTTTCTAAATAGCACTTCATAATATCCATAATGTCCAGTGATGGCTAATATTTTCTTGAATAATGACTAATGAATAATGACTAAAAGTGTTAGATTGGAAATAAAACACATGTGATGCTATTTAGAGAAAGTCATTATATTTTAGTGCTATTTAAGTAAATTTCTCATTTTTTGATGTACTTTAACAACTTCAACAAATATTACCAAAAAAGTGTGTAAAGTATTTTGCAATGCAACTAATTTGATATGATTTCTATATTTATACTATATTGTACTCCCTCCGTCCCCAATTTGATTACAAATTGCGGGTTACGGAGTAAAATTTCCTATTTTTTGAAATCATTTTATTTACAAATTGGTATATCAATAAGATATAAAAATTACATATTAAAAAACTACGTCAAAAATTCTACTCCCTCCGTCCCAAATTATAATGCATGTTTACTATTCACAGGGTCAAACTTCATTCACTTTCTTTCTCTATTTTCATTAGCAAATTGATAAAATAAAATATTGTTGTCACCACTAGTTTTGTAGATCTTTTGATGTAGTATTTTGATATGTAATTTTTATTTTTTAATTCTATACCATTTGTCATATAAAATGATTTGAAAATAACTTCAGTCAAACATCGTAAAACGAAACAGGCGTTATAAAATGGGGCGGAGNTCTACTCCCTCCGTCCCAAATTATAATGCATGTTTACTATTCACAGGGTCAAACTTCATTCACTTTCTTTCTCTATTTTCATTAGCAAATTGATAAAATAAAATATTGTTGTCACCACTAGTTTTGTAGATCTTTTGATGTAGTATTTTGATATGTAATTTTTATTTTTTAATTCTATACCATTTGTCATATAAAATGATTTGAAAATAACTTCAGTCAAACATCGTAAAACGAAACAGGCGTTATAAAATGGGGCGGAGGTAGTACAAAATAAGAGGTGGCAAGAATATTTTATTTTATCAAATATTTAATGAAATCGCGTAAACAAACAAAAGTTATCGAGAGGAGAGAGAAAAAAGATTGTAATCTATTTAGGGACGGATGGAGTAATAAATTATTAGTATTTAAAAAAATATAATTTCTATATTTAAACCTATTTTATATTGAGTATAAGTTTATATAAAAGAAAAAAAGTAAACTAGAAGTAAAATATGGAGAAAATACCAATAGAAAATCAATGTTTTTTAATCCTTAAAATGGGAGTACAATGCTTATAATTCCAATATATAGTACCAAAATATAGTGAGGTGTCACTATATAGTGGTATAGTATTACAGCATAAATTTCTATTTTGAGAATAAAAATATAAAATTCTTATTTTGAAGATAAATACAACGTTCTATTCACATTTATGATGATTTTTTTATACTCCTTTTGTCCGTAAAAGATTGCTACAGTTTAACTTTTTTGGGTAAACAGTGACACTCTTTGATCGTGAATTGTGGAAAAAATATATTTAGTTATAATGTAAATTTAGTAAAATTGATCAAGTTAATTTAAAATATAGTTTTGAAATATCAAATTTTTATAATATTTAATTATTTTAAACTATATTTAGTTTGTAATCAAAAGTGACACAATTTTATCAAAAAAGTCAAATTATTGCAATTTTTTAAAGACAGGACGGTATAAAAGTACTCCCTCCGTCCCAAATTATAATGTCTGTTCACTATTCATAGGTTCAAACTTCATTCACTTTCTTTCTCAATTTTCATTAGCTTTTTGATAAAATAAAATACTTTTGTCACTTCTAGTTTTGTAGATCTTTTGATATAGTATTTTTATATGTAATTTTTATTTTTTAACTATATACCATTTGTCATATAAAATGATTTGAAAATAATTTCAGTCAAACATCGTAAACCGTAACAGGCGTTATAAAATGGGACGGAGGGAGTAATAAATTTCAACACAAGAAATCCAAAAAAGAACTGAGTGAGTGCATGTATTTGTATCCACTATTTCTCCATTAAAGATCCTTTGGTCTTTCTAAGCAAAACTTATAATTCAAAAAGACTTGACCCGACTACTAATGAGTCTTGATACGTATGACCAATGACTGAATGAGCCTATGACCCACATCTTTGTCTACCTCTTTTAACCATGAGTAAATTCTATAATTGGTCCTTTATTAAATGGAGGTTTCCCTATTTAGTCCTCTATTATCAAATATTATCCAAGTGGTTCTTCTTTTATGGGTACCTTTCCACAAATAGTCCTTTTTTTATCTTCTATCATGTTGATGTTAATTTGAAGGCTAAAAGTATCTTTTTGTCATGCACAATTCCAAAGGCTGTTCCGTTTGCGTCGTTTATGAATTACAATCGCTTTTTACGACAACTATAGTCTATAAATGTAATCTTTCGTCAGAATCCTAGCCCACAATCATAGTCATTATTTTTGTGTTATCCGCTCAACCAATATCAGAACACGTCACTAGACATAATGTTGACATCAAATTATACTTTTAGCTTTTAAATTAACACCAACACGGCAGAAGATCAAAAAAAGGACCATTTGTGGAAAGGTACCCTTAAAAAAAGGACTACGGGGGTAATATTTGATAATAGAGGACTAAATATAGAAACCCCCTGTTATAAAGGACCAATTATGGAATTTACTCTTTAACAATTTATTACACCAATTATCTCGTGTAGATTGGTAAATGTGACTCGTTACTCCATTATTCCCAACTATTTCACAAGTTATATTGTTGCCTCTACTAATTTTAATATTTCGATCCCAATAATATTTTAGATTGTTATACCCTTTAAATTTTAGTTGAAAAGAATAAATAAAAAAAGAGGGAAGTTGGCGTCAATTAGGGGTGGGCGCGGTCCATGATGATCCGTGATACTACCGGAACCTATCACGGACCGCTCTTATTTAAACGGTCCGGCATTGGTACGGGATGAACTCCAAAACCATTCGGTACCATTCCGTTTTGAAACAGAACGGTATAATACCATACTCATGTTCAAACTTGCCGAAAAAATGAATGTACATTACTCAAAGAATATTGAATTTAATGTATAAATTTTTATAAAAAAAGACAAGTTTGTTAAATAAAAGTATTGATTTCAAATTTAAAAGGATGATAAACATAAAAAATAAAAGATAACGAGTCCAAAGTTAAAAAATATTTTTTTTCTCAATTCATATAATATCGGAATACTAATAACTATAAAAAAAATAATGCTAATAGTAATGATAAATATAATGAGAACAATAATAATGAGAGAGTTTAAAAACGAATAATAAAATACGAAGTATTCTATATATGATAAGATGAAGTAGCTAGACAAATACTCCATAATTATTTGAGATACGTACTCCGTATATAGCATTGGACGGTTCGGTCCGTGATAATCGGTTTTAAATATATGTATCATGGTCCTGTCCCATTTGGTATCGGTTCGGTTTCGGTTCGTAATGAAAAAAATCAACCCCGTTTGAAAATACTATAAACGGTTCGGTACCATTACGGTCCGGTACGGTACCATGCTAGTTCGATTTTTTGTCCACCCCTAGCAACAATTTTACATATATTTTGAAAATTGGCATCAACGACAGTTGATAACATGTTTATGTGTGCTTATAAGCTGACTTATAAGTTGCTTATAAACTATAAAAAATAAGTAGGTCTTAACTACTTATTTTAAACTAGTTTTATTGTTTATCAATTTTGATCAGATTATTTACAAAATTATCCCTCACCATTTATGAATGTTTTCAAGTGACTTATCTATCATTTAAGTCATTTTATTTTTATGAAAGAATATTTGACTTATAAGCAGCTTATAAGTTGAAAAGTGTTTATTAGCAATAATAACACAATAAGCACTAGCACAGAGAAACACTCTTATATATATATATATATATATATATATATATATATATATATATATATAGCTACAAAGTACATTAAATAAAAAAACTAAATGATCAAAAGTGCAACTGTTATTTTATTTAAAGAAAAAAAGATGAGTCCCATCCCCGAAGATCCCTCATGCCCGTAATTTTTTAAAGGCCACAAAACTAAATTTTTTTATTTAAAGACCGAAAAATTAAAAATTTTAAACACCACAAAATTAAAAATCTTACATTTTACAAATAAAGACTGAACATGACTTGGACTAGACTAACTGGACTTTGAGATACCAAAAAATTTCTAGTTTTCATAAAGACTAGCTAGTAGCTAGATTAGTTGGATTTGGACTGATTACAAAGAGACTGGATTAATCACATCTTAAATAATTTTGGTCTTTTTAAAGTACGTATAGCGCGGTCCACGAGAGGGACAAGTAGCGTGTCCATCCCGTGGACAAATTTTAACTTCTGGCAGCCCAAAATTTTTAATTTTTCAATATATGGAGCATATATATTACGATATATAATTACGACAATTATCTTTTGACATTAAATTTCAATGGTGCATTATGGTATCGATCTGAGGCACATATGGTGCTTCGATCAAAAAAAATTATTAGTTCTTACTCTTCCAATCCCGGTAACCCCCCCTGCTTGGACGTGGTCGTAATGCACCCTCGCACCCCACCAATTGTAATTCTTACGTGCATCAAACCGGGACAATAATAGAAAAATCTATAACCCCAAGTCTAAAATAAGGTTAGTTAAGTTTGTTTAAAACAATCTTTTTTAAGTTTCACATTATGTATCTCTTCTCTTCTACACTGTAATTTGCATATCAGGTTCAGAGATTACACACTGGCTAATGCATGGTTAATTAGGTGTAGCTAGGCGAAATGCACAACTAACCTATGTACGTATAGTAGGATTAGTAGGAGTATTTTCATGATGGCCCCAAGACTTTGGATTGGCTGAGGCTGCTCCCTAATCCCTATATATTTAAACCTTAGGATCAATATCCTTGAGCATAATTCATCAACCATATTAATTAATCAATTTTAATTAATAGAGCCCGTATCGAAATTTATTAAGCATTGATATATATAGAGCCAAGAAAATGGTCCGTCCCGAGATCCCCTCCATTTTTTCACGCCATTTTGTTGTTTTCTTTGTTGTTGTTTTCGCAGTCAAAACAGCTAATTCCAAAGGTCTCGAACTAGAGTCGTTTTACGGCAAGAAGTGCCCGAATGTTGAAGGCATTGTAAAAAACAAGACGGGTCAATTGCTAGAGAATAACGCTGCCCCTCTCGCAGCTGCCTTGCTGAGAATGCACTTCCACGATTGCTTTGTTCGGGTATATTATATTACTCATCCATTTTTTTAGCGTCAAAAGTTTTTTTTTCGATACGAATATTATGTCATGAATCCGCACGTATGTATAACGTAGGGGTGCGACGGTTCGGTGCTGATAAACTCTACAAGTCAGAACAAAGCGGAGAAGGACGCGATCCCTAACCAAACCTTACGCGGGTGGAACATAATTGATGCCGTAAAATCAGAGCTGGAGAAACAATGCCCGGGCGTTGTTTCTTGTGCTGACATCCTTGCTCTCGTCGCCCGAGATGCTGTTGCCCTGGTTATTAATTACTCCCTTCGTCCCATAATATTCTATCTTCATTAAATACAACATACACTCATTGATTATTGCAGTTTTAATACTCTTGTGTTTAGTTTTTGAAATTCAAAATATATATCACTCATCTTCTATTTAGACGAATCACGAGTTAAAATGGAAGCTCACTACTTTTGCAACTTTGAAAATGGAAAAATTTTAAGTTTGAAAAACTCTCTCTTTTGCACTAAAAAGAAAATCTCTTTTTGAAATACTTCAAAATTTTTAAGGATTACAATTCCTATTTTTAAGGGCTCCAAAATTTTAGAAAACCATAGTTATAATTATATATATTTGATATTAAAAAAATTGTGTTTCAACTTATAAATGGAAAGTTCTGGTTATGCGTTCTTTTATCTCAATTTGTATTTCAGTGTGTTTGTTCAGTTTAACTTTATGCAGTTAATTAAAGTACATAAAATTTTTATTATTAATTAAATAAATAATGCATTATATATATTAATAAAATCAAATAACTTTTCAAAAATATTTTACACATAAGATAAATCATAATTAAATGAATTTTATTTAGTGAAATTTGCACAGAATAGGACTAAAACATAAGTCATTTCCCAATATATGACTTAAACTTTTTTAATCCCTAAATAGGATTTAATAGTGACTAGTGAGAAGAATAATGTCCAAGTGATGCTGGACATTTAGTTGAATAATGACTAATAGATAATGATCAATGGTCCTACATTGGGAAATAAAAACATATGATCCTATATTCAGAAAGTCATTATGTTTTAGTCTTATTTAGGTAAATTACCCTTTTATTTATTAATTCAGATCGACGGACCATCATGGGAAGTGCCCTTGGGACGTAGAGATGGAAAGGTATCGAGCGCCTCAGAGGCTCTCCAGAAAATACCATTGCCTCTTTCCAATTTCACAGTCCTCAAACAAAATTTTGCCGATGTCAATCTGACCGTAAATGACCTCGCTGTTCTGGCAGGTAAATAAAAATTACTCCTCCTCCCTCAAAAAAGTTAAGAACGTTTCATTTTTAACTAAACGAAAAGATTAGTACTATCTCCTTTTGAAAATGATTTTCCCATTTGACTTAATCTAGTCAAAATTTTTTAAACTGGCTTTGATATATTGAAAAATACTCCCTCCGTCTCAAAAAGATTTACACCTTTCAAAAAATTTGCGTCCCACAATCTCCTACCCATTTCTATTAAAAAACCATTTTTACCTCTTACTTTTTCAAACCCTACCTATCACATCATACTTTTTTCCTAATAATCTACACATCACATCCTACTTTTACCCATTACATCAAGGGTATTTTTGGAAAGTCAACACAAAATTATCCCTCCCTTAATTTCAATTTTAGTCAAAATGTGTAAATCTTTTTGGGACGGAGGTAGTATTATGTTTCAATATAAATATAATACTCTCTCCGTCCCAAAAACTTTTTTGGGACAGAAGAAATATTAGCATATATTCCTTTATGAAACGTACGGATTTTCAAATATTACATTTTTAGTAAATATGTCAAAGTATAAATATGAATTGTCAAAATATTACATTAGAAAAAATAAAAAATCAAATGAGAAGATCACGAACGAATTAGAAAAATTAACATGTAATTTACCTAAATAGGACTAAAACATACTTCGTAATAACTTTCTCGATATAGAACTATATGTTTTTATATCCCAATGTAAGACTATAGGTCATAATCCATTAGTCATTATTCAACTAAATGTCCAGCATCACTTAGACATTATTTTTTTTATTAGTCATTATTAAGTCCTATTTAGGGAATAAAAAAGTTTAAGTCCTACATTGATAAATGACTTATGTTTTAGTCCTATTCAGTACAAATTTCACAATTAACATATGATAATTAAATAAATGAACAGGGGCACACACAATTGGGAGGGCACATTGCTTTACATTTACAAACCGTTTGTACAATTTTACGGGAAAGGGAGATGCAGATCCATCCATGCATGCAAAGTACGTCAAAACCCTAAAGAAGAGATGTCCCCCGGCGGACACCACCACCACGGTGGAGATGGATCCCGGCAGTGCCAAACACTTCGACGATGGATACTACCGCCGCCTCACCCAAAGAAGAGGGCTCTTCTCGTCGGACGCCGCTCTTGTCTCCGCCGCCGCCGCCCAGGATCACGTCGACGTGAAACAATTCATTTCGAACACGTCCACCGCCGCTTTCTTCCGTGCCTTTGGCGAATCGATGGTGCGGATGGGGAACATTGGCGTCCTCACCGGCACTCAAGGGGAGATCAGGAAGGTCTGTTCCCGCGTTAATTAATTAATTAATACTCCCTCCAAAAAAATGCAATATCTAAAACCCTAAAAAACTTATTACATGTGCTTTTGTGAGAGTGTGAGACGTGCCCTATTCCCAAATAATGAGTTGGTTCTTTTTTTGAATACTAACAATTTTATTACATGTTGTGTAATTTGTGTTTGTTCATGCATTTTTATTAATCTATTTGTGGGTGTGTCCTTTTTGTTCTTGGCTTTATGGATATTCCATGGGGTAATCAATTGTAATTTTTGTTTCCATTGGTTTGAATTCAATATGAGGAGTTGATGAGGACTACTTATATTCTCTTGGTGGATTTAACTACGCGACCAAAGAAGACATACTTAAATACTAAGTTTCCCAACTTACTCTGGGATATAAGCGAGATGTGATGAGTAGTTTATTAGTGAATAAGTAGAAGAAGAATTAATATTGGTAAAAGAAGTTTTTAATAGAAAGGAAAAAATAATTTTGATACTGAGAAAAAAAGACAAACACTTTTAGGAACAAAGTAGGTATTATACTTCATCTGTCCAATAAAGTACCCTGTTCGAATGATAGATGTGCAAAATCTTGTGAATTTTACAACGATTTTATTTTCAAATTGATATAGAAATAAAAAATAAATTATACATGCATATATCTAAATACTAAATCAAAATTAAAATTCTACGGAGTACAAAACAAAAGATGACAAGAATATTTTATTTTATCAAATGATCAATGAAAACATGCAAACAAAGTGTGTGTAGGACTATATTTTGGGCCAAAACATCATCTAGATTAACTACTGTCATCACATATTTACCCCTACTTTTTTCATACCTTACCTATCACATCATACTTTTTCACTAATAACTAAACTATTACATCTTACTTTTACTTATCACATCAGGGGCAAAATTGGAAAGTCAACTAAAATTACACTTTCCTTATTTTTCCCCAAAGTCAAAACAGGAACCGTTTTGAGAAACGGAGGGAGTAACAGTCTATGAAAAAAGATAATACTCCCTCCATTTCTTAAAACCCTTCCTCTTTCATTTTTTTTGTTTTCCTTTAAAACTTCCTTTTTCTATTAAAAAACCACTTTTACCCATACTTTTTCATACCCTACCTATCACATCATACTTTTTCACTAATAACTAAACTATCACATCTTACTTTTACCCATCATATCAGGGGCAAAATTGGAAAGTCAACTAAAATTACACTTTTCTTATTTTGCCCCAAAGTCAAAACAAGAACCATGTTAAGAAACGGAGGGAGTATTTACTAAAATTGCAAGTACAAAAACTTACAACAAAAAGCAGAGTTGGAGTCACTTTGAGACAACCAAAACAAAACTATACTAAAGTAATACTCCTTCTGTCCACCATACATCTTCTCGGACACTATTCACAGGGTCAAACTTCACTCACTTTGTTTACTTATCTTTAATAGTTATTTCGTAAAATAATATAGTCTTGTCACTTCTAGTTTTGTAGAACTTTTCATGTAGTTTATTACTATATAAATTTTATTTTATAATTTTATTCCTATAATCAATTAATTGAATTAAAAATAGAATTGATCAAGCTTCGTAACGTGCAACGGGAAGATTTTAGATGACGGAGGAGTAAAATATAGAGCAGAGCCCCGGCCTCCCGGGCCTTAAAGACCCAAAGAGGAGTTGATGATGAATGGAGGGGCGGAGTTCTCTTTTTATTGACTGGAATTTTGGTCCAGGCATCCGGCCGGTTGGGCCTGGGCCACGATCCTTGATTTTCTGTGATACAATTTGTGATTTGCACGCACCTGACTGCCGCCTAGGCCTAAAATCGGCCCATTTCTTTTATTTCAGTATTTTTCTTCAATTATTTTGCTTCATGACCCAAATCAATCTTTTTTCAACTTGTGAAACTTCAATTTAAAACTTTTTTTCTTCTGATTTGACCTTACAAGTTAAATCTTTCAACACTGTGCACCATCATATTTCATTATGCACTTTTTACTCCTTCAATTTCCGTCATCTTTTCTCTCCGCTCTGCGTCCTAAGCTTGCAATTGTTAATTTTTTAGCACTTTAGTACTGTTTTGACCCAATTTTTATTCTTTTCAAAATGAGACATGAATCTTGTGCACTTTTGCAATTGTGAATAAAAATATATAAAAACAAATGAAAACTTGTCTTGATTGATTTAAAGTTGGACATTAACATATTAATTATGAGGAAGATAAATATGTACAAAATGGACTTATCAAATTCCACACATTTAAGTGTTGCTTGCCCTCAAGCAACAGAGAATAAAAACAATTGAAATTTTGGTTCAATCAATTATTTACCAAAATTTTGAAAAAAAAATCACCACACTTTTAAACAAGTTGTTGCACAATTTTTTTTGTAAATTACGGAATATTTAATCTTTACCAATGTAGAAATACTAGAACTAACACCCTTTTTACAAAAGTTAGCAAACTATTTTTATTTATTTTTCCAAAAGATACACATAAATTAATGTTATTGGCTAAACGCACAAGTTTGGTCCATCTACAAAATTGGATACTATTAGCCACAAAAAAAAAACTGTAAGTGTTCCACAATAACTGTAAAATAATTTAAGGTAAAAAATATGAACATTGGAAAGTTTTGAAAATAACTTTAATGAAAATAAAGAAACCACCCTAAATAGAAGTGAAACATAAAGACAGTACCAAAATAGGAGTTTCGTGTTTTTACTTTCTAAATAGGAGTTTGCATTGTGGTAATGTGCATTTTACGTAATGTACATATTACGTAATGTACACGTGCATTTTACGTAATGTACATATTAATGATTGGTAATGTAAATGCATTTTAATTTTTATTTTGGAAATAAAAATATGGAACTTCCATTTTAGTATATTTTCAATGTTTTACTCCTACTTCAGTCTTTTTCCCATTAAAATATCATTCATTCCTATGCAAGGAGTGAGTTTGGGATTCTTTTGGCTTTTTTTTAAATGCACAACTTTGTCTATTGACACACAGTAACATTACTTACAGCAAGGAAATTTGTTTAGACCTTAATTTATTGAGATATACATAATGTACATGATTTATATGCACTGATTAATTTATAGCATAAAAAATTTTTATTTATTGATTATTTTTTGATTTCTTATCCCAAAACTAACAATGCAATCATCAAAATTTCAAATTTTCCAAAAAGTATACTGCTCAGACTCTATTTCAAGTAGAGGAACAGCGCATGCTTGGACTTTCTAAAATGACAAGTTAAAAATAATATTTGACCTAAACACATTTTACAAGATAATGTTAAATCACTAAAACAATGGTTTTTTAACATATTAATCATTATACCAATTTATTTATTTACTAGACTTTTAAATTTAGCCAATAAAATATAAAAATATATGTGTACAATTTAAAGAAAAAGTATGAAATTTTTTGGCTAATTTTTGTATAACGGGGCTACTAAAAGAATCTACACATGAAAAGAATAAACGGTGTAAAGAATTTTAAATGTATCAAAAGTGGTAACTGAACCGTTTCAGAGTATTCGAGATCTGACATAATGCTGCCAATAAGAATCTCATAGGCCCACCTGAAGAAATCTTTTGACAGAATGACCGAGTAGGAATGATGGGATAAGTTCGACTCTCTAGGGCGTCAATCTTTGCGTCTACTTAAGTACCGGGGAAAAATACAGTATTATAATTATATAAGAGCCATACGTCTTTTAAGAACAAAATAGAAGTTCATGTTGTCATTGTTACACTGTTATACTTACCACATTGTAACATTACAACTACGACACTATCCACCCATACGTGGCCGCATGGGTTAAAATATTTAATAAAGTAAAATAGGCGGCATGATTGTGAAGGCATTTCTTATGTGATCTTTGGGCTCACACTAATTTTATGGATCTCAATACTCGTGCGTCAGCCACAAATCTTACCAAGTTGACCTTTTGAAGATTGAAGGAGAGTTGAAAAGGGTTAAAAGTTACTAAAATACACTTAATGAAGTTAGCCGGAGTATATTAAAAGAGGTGGGTGATGTGTAGAAAATAAAGTGAGGTAGGATAGTGTTGTATTTTAAATATCAAAAAGGTAATATTTCCTTTATTTGTGTCAAATTAAATTGAATGTTTACTATATATTCATAGAATCGAACTTTATTTACTTTCTTTTTTCTATTTCATTAGTCATTTGATAAAATAATATACTCATGTTATCACTAGTTTTGTAGATTTTTTTATCTAGTCTTAGAATATTTAAGTTTTAATTTTTTTAATCATACACCATTTTTCATATAAATTGATTTGAAAAAGACTTTAATCAAACAGCGTAAACCAAAACAAGCAATTTAAATTGGGACGGAGGGAGGAGTACAAAAGAAGATCTTTTTCAGGCAAATAATAAAGTCTATCACATTTTACACCTTAAAATCACATAAGCACAACTCTATCATCAATAGTAAATCTGTTTTCACAAGGTATATAGTTCACACAACATTTGATGGTTTGTTTATTAGAGCATGCGCAGCGGCGAGGCATTTCCTCGCTCGCTGCGCCACATCAGCTCATTTGGATAAATTGCCTCGCGTGGCTTAGCCTTCCTCCACGCCAAGGGTGTGAGGCCGAGGCAGTCCAGGTATTTTTTTATTTTTTTTTTGTTTTTTTAGAAGAAATAAATTTTTTAAAAAGAGTACATCTATTTAAAAAAAGATAATTGAAATAATTTTTAATAATTAAAATGCATTAAAAAATCATAAAAATTGACAAAAACAGTTACTTGCCACTGCACGAGATGCCCTTCCACTCACTTGCCACACGCTGATTGGATTGTTTTTTATTGGTTGAAATGTGCCACGTCAACGTGTGGCATTCCATTTCGTTACTTGTCATTGCTCGTGCTCTTAAGATGAATAAGAGATATTGGTAACTGCGCGCATATTGTCTATTTGTCTTTTATAAGTCACGTTCTCGTGGTAACATAATCTCTTGTTTGTAGATGTTCCAAAAAATAATACTCCGTCAGTCCCATAAAATCTTTCTCCTTTCTTTTTTTATCCGTCCCACAAAACACTTCTCATTTCTATTAAAAAGTCACTTTTATCCCTTACTTTTTCATAC